GGGTCTCGCTGGCACTTTGGGAGGCTGAGGCCGGTGGATCACGAGGTCAGGAGCTTGAGACCAGCCTGGCCAACATAGCGAAACCTCGTCTCTACTAAAAATGCAAAAAAAAAAAAAATTACCAGGCACACGCCTGTAATCCCAGTTTACTCGGGAGGCTGAGGCAGGAGAATCACTTGAACCTGGGAGGTGAAGGTTGTGGTGAACTGAGATCACCCCACTGCACTCCAGCCTGGGCGGCAGAGTGAGACGCTGTCTCAAAAAAAAAACACAAAAAGCAGGATCTCACTCTGTCACCCAGGATGGAGTGAAGTGGGGTGATCTTGCTCATGGCAATCTCTGCCTCCTGGGTTTAAGTAATTCTCCGGACTCAGCATCCCGAGTAGCTGGGATTACAGGCCTGTGCCACCATGCCTGGGTAATTTTTGTATTTTTTGTAGAGTCGGGGTTTTGCCATGTTGGTCAAGCTGGTCTCCAATCCTTGACCTCAGTGATCTGCCCGCCTCAGCCTTCCAACGTGCTGGGATTACAGGCGTGGGCCGCAGCACCCCGCCTCCTGCCTAGCCTCCATCTTGTTCTGGATCTAGGATAGGTTTTGGGGCTGGGGGCTGCGGAGGGAGGGGGCTGTCAGGGACTCCAGAAGCCGACCGGGGATGCGTGGGCCGCCCACTTCCATTTCCTCCTCCTCACTGCAGGTGCTGCGGGAGATGTGCAAGCAGGGCTACCGGGACGGCCTGCGCTTCCTGCGGCGGAACGGTGCGCGGGACGGCGGGCTGGGCGGGCTGGGCTCGGCGGCTCTGCTGTCCTCTGCCGCCCACCGGCCGCGGCCGCGCTGATTAACGGAATCCCCTCCCGTCCCCACCCCAGGCCTCCTGAACCGGCCCAACCCCTTGCTGGCGTTGCCCGCCGCCCGCCCTGACGGCCCGGAGGATGAGGACGAGGAGGAGGACGAGGCCGTGGAGAGCGCCCGAGCGGAGGATCGCTCGCAGCCGCCGGGGGAAGGTCACATCCTGGAGCACCTGCCCGCCCGGCTTAATGAGGGTGCGTGCACCTCGGGGACGGGACGGGAGGAGGGGAGGGGACGGCGAGGCGCGGAGGGAGGCCGAGCGGGTCCTGGGCTCCCCTGCCTCCGCTGGCCGCCAACCTCCTGCCCGCCCGCCCGCAGCCCTGCTGGAGGCCTGTGTGGAGCCCAGGGACCTGTTGACCACCTTCTCCAACATGCTGCCCGTGCGCCTGGCCACGGCCATGATGGTGCCCTACACGCTGCCGCTGGAGAGCGCCGTGTCCTTCACCATCCGGTGTGGGGGCAGGAGGGTCGGGAGAGGGGCCCCGGGGACGGACTTGGGGATCATCCGCGAGTGATGGCCACGCGGAAGGTGGGGTGGGGTGGGCGGTGCCGAACCAGGGCGCAGACGGGGCCCGGTGGGTGGGCGTGTGGGCCTGGCCGGGTCCCTGAGCGCGCGCTCGCCCCCTCCCCAGCTTGCTGGAGTGGCTGCCCGACGTTCCCGAGGACATCCGGTGGATGAAGGAGCAGACGGGCAGCATCTGCCAGTACCTGGTGATGCGCGCCAAGAGGAAGCTGGGCCGCCACCTGCCCTCCAGGTGAGCCGCCGACCGCGCGCCCGCCTGCCCGGCCCCGGCCCGCGGCGCCCGTGCCCGGCACTGAAGCCCTCCCCGCCCCGGCCCCGCCCCGCAGGCTGTCGGAGCAGGCGGAGCTCCGCCGCGCCCAGTCGCTGCCCTCCGTGCCGCTGTCCTGCGCCGCCTACAGCGAGGCACTGCCCGGGTGGATGCGCAACAACCTCTCGCTGGGGGACGCGCTGGCCAAGTGGGAGGAGTGCCAGCGCCAGCTGCTGCTCGGCCTCTTCTGCACCAACGTGGCCTTCCCGCCGGACGCTCTGCGCATGCGCGCGCCCGCCCCCGCGGGCCCCGCCCCCGAGGCCCCGCCCCCTCGCTGAGCGCCCCGCCCCTGCAGCCCGGCCCGAGAGTCGGTGCCCTGGGGCTGCCCGAGACCCCGACCCCCGGCCTCTCTCCATGACCACTGCGGAGTGAGGAGGAGGGGGCCTTGCGGCGGACCCCCGCCAGCCACGCACAGCTGCACTCAGTGGGGAGGATTGCGTTCCCCTCCCCGGGGCCGCCGAGGCCCGCGCACCTGGGCCCGCGCACCTGTGCCTTAGTCGTCCTTCCGCGTGCTGCCCGCGCACCTCCCCACCCGTACTCCGAGAACTCTGCAGCTGCTCTTCCCTCCACGTTTTTCATGTCCTGCTGAAAAGTCCGTGTGAAGAATTATTTATTTTCGCCAAAGCACATGTAATAAATGCTGCAGCCCAGCCTCTGCCCACTGCGCTTGTGTGTGACTGCCGGCTTGCTGGAGAGCATGGTGGCGAGGCGCGGGCGCTCCTCAGCTGGCCAGCATCTCCACAGCTGCAGGTCAGGGCTTCCAGCGTCGCAGTCCTGGGCCTGGCATGTAGAACGTGCCAGGCTGGCCTGGGCACCCCCTACAGGCACATGTGAGCCTGGTGCATTCCTGCCTACCCCCTGGCTAGGACCCATCCTCACGACCCCCACTTTGCCCGGAGGCCTCCTGGCTGACCCTTGGACACAGCCTTCTGAGAGCTGATGGAAATATTTGGGACCAAGATCCTTGGTAAATAAAACAGGAAAATGTTTGCAAAAGGTGTCACCTGCCCCTCCCGCCACACAATGACGCAGCGGGGTGTGTGGCTTTTGGGGCAGGACAGCTGTAGAGGCCGAGTCGGGGCACACACAGAGCTGGCCGGGTGGGTGGTCCTCACGGAACTCCTGAGCGCGCCCAGCTTGCTGGAGTGGCTGCTCCAACCTGGGCATTTGCCCGAAAGCTGTCCCCCACCCTCTCAAGCCCCTCTGGCTTCATGCACACATGCTCTTGTTCCCCTGCCTCCCCCCACATACGCAGCCTCCTGCCAGTACCCAGGGGTGGAGGGGGCTGGGATATGGAGGCAGGTGAGAGCCTAGCTGAAGGGGGCTCAGCGCCGTGCAGGAGAAGTGGTTTCCTGAGAGCGCACTCTGCATGGCGGGGAGGCCAGCCCTCCTTGGTAACAAAAAAGGACACATGGCCTGAGGCTGCTGGAGCAGAGCCCTGGGCCTGGCTGGCTGGCCAGAGCCAGCCCCCACCTGCTCCTCTCAGAAGGCGTGGGTGGCTGTGGTGGCAGCCCCCTGCCAACAATAACGGTTGGCTCTGCGATCTGGGACCGGGTGAGCCGGCCAGGCAGGTCCCTGGTGCGCCTGTGCCAGGGCCAACCCCCTTGGTCTGAAGGTCCTGTGCCATAAGCCCAGCCTATTGTGGTTCAGCTGGGTCCCGGGCCCCTTCCCTTGAGAAGCAGAGGCCTGGAAGCCCCCAGGATTGCTGGGCGGGATCCTGAGGCCAGCCCTGCAGGTGGGTGAGGGGCCGGGCTGGGGCTGGGGCTGGGGCGGGCTCCTCGGTCTCGCGTGGAATTTTCTTCCCGGCAGGAGGGTTCCACTCGGGCCTCACGCAGCTCCTCTTTCCACTCCTCCCCAGAGGGGAGCCCTAGTCAGGAGTGCTGTGAGGGGCTGCAGAGGTGGGACCTCCCTGTGCCCCGGCTGGTCCACCGAATACCGCTAAGTTCAACATCTTCTAGCCTTACATGTTGATTGTTTTCGTCTGTTTTGAGCCGGAGTCTCACTCTGTTGCCCAGGCTGGAGTGCAGTGGGGTGATCTCAGTTCACGGCAACTTCTGCCTCCTGGGTTCAAGCCATTCTCCTGCCTCAGCCTCCCGAGTGGCTAGGATTACAAGTGTGCACCACTATGCCCAGCTAATTTTTTTTTTTTTTTTTTGAGATGGAGTCTCATTTTGTCATTCAGGCAGGAGTGCAGTGGCTTGATCTCGGCTCACTGCAACCTCTGGCTTCTGAATTCAAGTGATTCTCCTGCCTAAGCCTTCTGATTAGCTGGGACTACAGGCGCATGCCACCACGTCCGGCTAATTTTTTTATTTTTTTTATTTTTTTTTGAGACGGAGTTTCACTCTTGTTACCCAGGCTGGAGTGCAATGGCGCGATCTCGGCTCACCGCAACCTCTGCCTCCTGGGTTCAGGCAATTCTTCTGCCTCAGCCTCCTGAGTAGCTGGGATTACAGGCACGCGCCACCACACCCAGCTAGTTTTTTGTATTTTTAGTAGAGACAGGGTTTCACCATGTTGACCAGGATGGTCTCGATCTCTCGACCTCGTGATCCACCCGCCTCGGCCTCCCAAAGTGCTGGGATTACAGGCGTGAGCCACCATGCCCGGCTGATTTTTTTTTTTTTTTTTTTTTTTTTTTTTAGTAGAGATGGGGTTAGCCAGGACGGTCTTGACCTCCTGACCTCGTGATCCTCCCACCTTGGTCTACCAAAGTGCTGGGATTGCAGGTGTGAGCCATGGCGCCTGGATATTTTGTATTTTTAGTAGAGATGGGGTCTCCCCATGTTGGCCAGGATGGTCTCGAACTCCTGACCTCAGGTGATCGGCCCACCTTGGCCTCCCAAAGTGCTAGAATTCCAGGTGTGAGCCACTGCGCTGGGCCGACATGCTTATTGTTTAAAAATTGGGGCCGGGCGCGGTGGCTCAAGCCTGTAATCCCAGCACTTTGGGAGGCCGAGGCGGGTGGATCACGAGGTCAAGAGATCGAGACCATCCTGGTCAACACGGTGAAACCCCGTCTCTACTAAAAAAATACAAAAAATTAGCTGGGCATGGTGGCGTGTGCCTGTAATCCCAGCTACTCAGGAGGTTGAGGCAGGAGAATTGCCTGAACCCAGGAGGCGGAGGTTGCGGTGAGCCGAGATAGCGCCATTGCACTCCAGCCTGGGTAACGAGAGCGAAACTCCGTCTCAAAAAAAAAAAAAAAAAAAAAAAAAAAAAAAAAAAAAATTGGGACAGTATAGGGAAGAGAGTGACGCCTCCCCACCCCTGGAGATAACCGATGCAAGCATTTGGTCTGTTTCCTGCCTGGCTTTTTCCTGCACACACGTTTGGCGCCTTAAGTCGGGCTCTCCCGGACGGGAGCGGCCCCTCCCAGGCGCTGGTGTCTACGCCGCCCCTGCAGCCTTGTCCCTGCTCCGGGGGGACCCTGGGTCTCCGGGGCACATCGCTGCTCCTCGGCTCTCTCAGGCCGACAGAGATCGGGCCGCAAGGGCAGCTCAGAGAGGCGGGGACAGGCGACAGCAGCACAGAGCAGCCTCTCCTGGGCCGGCCCGAGCGGGGGTCTCGGTGCCTGTGAGGAGGCAGGGGTCGCTCCGGGCCCGGTGCCCCTAGTGTCCCGTCCGGGTCCCAGCTGGGGCGGGGCGCGCCCAGCGTTTCCGGGAGGAGCGGCCCTGGCGAGAGGCAGGTGCGGCCGTGCAGCTCACAGGTAGGCAGGTGCCCTGCTGGTCCCGCCGAGGCCCCTCCACCGCCGCCCGCCCGGCACCCTCTCCCAGCCGCGGTGGCCCGTGCCAAACCTGAGCATGTCAGGTCAGAGACTCCGGGTACCCCTCGGGACCTGAGGCAGCAGCGGCCAGGGCAGGCTTGGCCTCCAGAGTTGCAGGAGCGCAGGCGGCCGGCTGCCGCACCCGGCCAGCCCATCCTCCTAGCTCCCTGGGGCCCAGCCGCCGTGGCTTCCGGCAGGGGTGGACCTGAAAGTTGGAGGGTGAGGCGACAATGTGGCCTGGAGGCAATGGCCCTGGTGTCTCGTGTCCCCTTCCCTCAGCTGCTCAGGCTTGCCCTCTGCGGAGGTGGCCCGGCTAAGAAATACCGGAGGACCCTGGCCGTGGAGCCAGGGGCCAGGATCCCCGCTTTCCGGTGGGGGAAGGCTGGTGTCACTGGGGAGCAGCTTTGGGAAATCCGGGATGAGGACGCTGTGGGAAGGACAGGTGGCTCTGGTTAGGGGGCGGGGCATCTCTGCAAGGAGTTCTGGGACAGGGAAGGGCCTTAGTGATGGGGGGCAGGGGCGTTAGGTTTCGAATCTGAAAGTATTCCTGAGCAGAGCGGCAGAGGCGAGGGGCTCTGCCGGTTGGGACCTGGCCCCTGCACCCTGCGGGCTTAGTTGTGGGGAGGGAGGGGCTGCTGGGCAGGAGGGAGGAGTTTGCCCCGGCTGCCAGCTGTCATGAGGCTGGGCCACCCAGGTCCAGGCTAGGGGCTAAGGACTTGGTCAGGGCTGGCTGAGCCCTCACGTGGGGTCAGATCTCCAACTGCAGAAAGCGGCGGGCTCCTCCCTCACTGACCGCAAGCCCGCCCCTCTCAGCTTTCAGGAGTCGCCTTCCTCATCACCAGGTCTTCTCCACCGGCCCCGAGACTGCCCCCACCTCCAGCTTCCCATCCTGAACTGGGCAGCTCCTCCTGGGGCTCTCGCCTCTCCCTGGGTTCCAGCTTCCTGAGATGCCAGACCCATCGGGGTAGCACCCACAGTCCCTGAGCCTGTCTCACCCACCGCAGTGACAGCCCCAGCCCTCTGGCCCCACCTTGCCTTCCGCCCACCTTCCCACCTGCTGCAGGGAGGGCCTGCAGCTGACCCTTCAGACACACTTGCACCCCAGCAGCTCCCCTCCCGAATTTCTTCTGACCCTCCCTTGGCTTCACAGCACCTGAAGGCCAGGCTGAGGCCCCCTGTTCCCATGGCCAGCCTGGGAGAGCCTGAGGCTGATGAGGCCCAGGAGGAGGTGGCGGAACTGGAGGGAGGTCCTGCAGAGCCCCGGGCTGCCATGCTGGAGCAGGCCCAGGAGCTGTTTCTGCTATGTGACAAGGAGGCCAAGGGCTTCATCACCAGGCACGACCTGCAGGTGAGTCCCCGGCCCCAAGAGACTGCCTCGGCCCGGGGCGGACCTCAGCGGCTCATCCCTGCTGTCCTTCCCTGACCAGGGTCTCCAGAGCGACCTCCCCCTCACGCCTGAGCAGCTGGAGGCCGTGTTTGAAAGTCTGGACCAGGCTCACACTGGCTTCCTCACCCCCCGCGAGTTCTGCCTGGGCCTGGGTGAGCCTGAGGCCCGCCCATCCCCCACTACCCAGAGGCTGGGCGCCTGTGGCCCGAGGGCTGCCTGCGCTCCTCCTCCCTCCAGGGCCAGTGCTGGTGTCTGCACCCACCCGCGCCTGGTGTCCCCGGCTCTGTGGAGTGTGCGGAAGCTGACCTTCCTGCCCCCACTCCTCTCCTGTGCTATGCCCCGTGGGGCTGGGAGCCGGCCTGTCACCTCTTGTTCCCAGGCCAATAGGACCAGAACAAGGAAGAAAAACAGGAAACTGGGCCCTGAGAGAGGCCAGGATACTTGCTGGGAGGGTGAACGGGACAGAGCCAGGGCGGTGACCCACAGCCCCGGTAATGCTCGCTCCATGCCTGCAGGGATGTTTGTGGGGGTGCAGTCGGCCCAGGGAGAAATCCCCGGCAGGGCTCCCGAGGAGACCTTTGAGTCAGGCTGGATGGACGTGCAGGGCACGGAGGGCTCTCTGGACGAGGAGGAGGAGGAGGAAGAGGAGGAGCGATTCCACACTGCGCTGGAGCAGCTGGGGGTGGCCCCAGTCCTGGGCGAGTGAGTCGGCGCTGGCCCTGCCACCCCGCCCCTCCTGCTGTTTCGCTGCCTGCATGCTGTCTGCCCCTGACACCCGAGTGCGGGTCCCGCACAGGCTCAGGCCCGGCCCAGCGTCAGCTCCGACTCCCTGGGAGGGACCCGTCGTGATTTCCCGCAGAATTTGCATTTCAGGAGGCAGCAGCCAGGGCTGCGGGGAGGAGGGGCGGCGCCGGGAGCGGGGCCACAGACCGGCACCGCCCGGTACACACGGCTCACCGGCCACCCACGCTGGGCAGCGGCGAAGGCGCTCACGGGAGGGATGCCCTGCCCGCGGCAAGCGCGCCTGTCCGGTCCAGGACCAGAGTCTCCCAGGGGTTTGCCGTGGGCGGAGGGGCGCCTGCTCCCCGCCTCTGCCAGCTCCAACCTCCGTTCACGTCCGCCCTCCAGGCAGCGGGCTGTGAGGACGCTCTGGGCCCGGCTGCAGCGCGAGCGCCCGGAGCTGCTGAGCTCTTTCGAGGACGTTCTGATAGGCGCGTCCGCCTGCCTGGAGGAGGCGGCCCGGGAGCGCGACGGCCTGGAGCAGGCGCTGCGGAGGTGAGCGCCGGGTGGGGTCTGGGGGCCAGCGGAGGGCCTCGGGCAGCAGCAGAGGGGGTGCTGGGGGGCTGCAGCGCCGGCAAGTTCTCATCCAGGTCTCCCCGTGCCCCGAAGGCGCGAGAGCGAGCACGAGCGGGAGGTGCGCGCTCTGTACGAGGAGATGGAGCAGCTTCGCGAGCAAAGCCGGCGCCCGTCGAGTCAGGTGGGCCTCGGGCCCCGCCCCGCGCCAGGCCCAACCCCGCCGCGCGCGCCCCCTGGCTCCGCCTTCCCCGAACGAGCCCCACCCCGACGGCTCCACCTCTGCGGGGCCCGGCTGCCCCCGGTCCAGGGAGACCCCGCTGGGCCTCACCCCTCGCGCCCGTCCGGTCTTCTCCACCCGACCCCGCTCCGTCCTGGCCCACTCCCAGCCCCCGGCCCTCCGTGTGCCTCGTGTGCACGCCCGGGCGGCCGGCGAAGGCTCAGTGGCCCTCCGTGCGTCCCAGAGCTCCGCCGGCGAGGAGCGGAGAAGCCGCCTGGAGCTGGAGCTGCAGGGTCGCGAGCAGGACCTAGAACGCGCGGACCTGCGGCAGCGGGAGGTGAGCGCCCGGCGCCTGCCCCGTCCCCACAGCCAGCCGTGCGCGCTCCCCTGGGCCGCAGTGTCCCCGGCCCGCGGGTTGCCGGGAGCCTGGGCACGCGCAGCACCCCGGGGAAGAGGGAGCGTTCCTCGCCGGTCTCCATCCTCTAGTTAGAGCAGCAGCTGCGGGCCCGGGCTGCGGAGCACCTGGAGGCGCAGGCCCAGAACTCCCAGCTGTGGCGGGCGCACGAGGCGCTGCGGGCGCAGCTGGAAGGAGCGCAGGAACAGATCCGCAGGCTGGAGGGCGAAGCGCGAGGCCGCCAGGAGCAAACCCAACGGTGCCGGGGAACGGGGCCGGGGCGTGTCCCGGGGGAGGGGCCCTCGGGTGCTCGGGTCTGCGCCACTTTCATCCCCACCTCAAAGTCCCAGCCCGGCTCTGTGGGAGGGAGGGTCTTCTAGGGGGTCCTGGGGCTCCCCGGTAGCCTTCCTGCAGCCGGGTCACCACCTCCTACCCACAGAGACGTGGTCGCCGTCTCCAGGAACATGCAGAAGGAGAAAGTCAGCCTGCTACGGCAACTGGAGCTGCTCAGGTGCGGCCAGGCTCAGGCCGGCGAGGGAAGGGGCTCAGCGGAGCCAGGGGGCTCCAAGCTCCCCAACATTCTTGGCTACCGCTCTGCTCCGCTGGAAGTCTTTCCTATGTCTGCCTTTCACGCCTCATGTTGCAGTCCCAGCCAGACACCTCTTTTCTGTCGAGGGGAGTCAGAGCCCACCTCCCTCACCTTGCGCTCCCTCAGACCCGCTCAGTGTCGGACTCCTCCTTCCCTAGGGAGCTGAACACACGGCTGCGAGACGACAGGGACGCCTTCGAGGCCAGGCGGGCGGGCAGCAGCCGCAGGAAGGCTCTGACCACCGCCCGCCTGCCTGGGCCCACCTGCTGCTGTTGCTGCTGCTGGTCTCGGCCTCCCAGACGCGGCTCTGGTCACCTTCCCAGTGCCCGGTGACCGGCCCCGAGTGACTCACGGAGCGTCAGCTGGAAGCTGTCCTGGCAGGAGACTTGTCATGGGTTGGGTGGTGCCTACTCAGGGTGCGGGCTCTCCCCAGGGGGCCCCAGGCCTGCCTGACCGAAGACATAAAGAACTAGCCTGGGGGTGGTCAGGGGCCTGGGGGTGGTCAGGGGCCTGGGGGTGGTCAGGGTCCCATGTGCCCTCTGCCAGTTCTTCATTCTGTCCCCATTCAATCAACCCCATCTCAGTTCAGCAGAAACACCCCTGGTCAAATAAACCCACTGCCTGCCCTGCATCCTCCTGGCCTTCGTGCCTCTGGGAGCCGCAGCCTGGGTGGGTGTGCACACTGCATGAGTGGTCACTGTGCACGCGCGCCGTGTGGGTGAACACGTGGGCCTGCGGCACGGGGGCTGAGGTCCTGCGTGTCCTCTTGTGTCCCTGGTCATGCCCCCCAACTCATACTCATCAAGGCTGGAGCCCCACAGGGCCCCCCACAGTGTGTGGGTCAGGGCGTCCCGCTGTCTTGCCCAGGAGCCCAGCCACCGCCTCACCCGCCAGTCTTCACCTGTGTCACTGATGAATGAGCTGGGGGTGGGGGGGAGCCCCCTCCTTCCTCACTCCCACTCTTGGCTTCCCCGTACCGCCCTAGGCCGGTCCTGCCCTTCCTCCCTCACCTCCTCGCACCACACCCAGTGGCTCCTTCCAGTATCTCTGGCTGGGACCCCAGGCCTGCCCGGGTCTCCAGGGTGTCCACACTGCCCGCGGCCTAGCCTCTCTCCTGCCTCTGCCCACGGCGCTAGGCTCTCCCCTGCCCCAGGCCCGCAACCGTTCTGCCGACCCCTTGAAGCCTCTGGGCGGTTCCAGGGTGCGGAGAAAGAGACGGGGTTGGGCATGGAGGCGGGCCCGGCCGCCGCAGCCCCGGGCCTCTGGTCGCCGCTCCACCTCGGCCCGCCTCCCGCTCAGCTCCTCCGTCCCGGGACAGGGGACCCTTGATGGGCTGTTGGCGCCCTCAGGGCTGCAGCTCGCCCGGCCCCCGCAGTGCGGGGTCGACCCCCAGCGCCTGCACCCACCGGCTCGCGCTCGCCACGCGGGTTCGGACTTGCCGGGCTTCTGCCGCCGCGGGCGGGGCCTGCGGCCTGGGGCGGGGCCGGGGCGGGGCGTCTCCTCGCAGGCCCCGGGCCGCGCATTCTCCGCGCTGGGAGCCGCCCCCGCCGTCGCCGCCGCCGCCGCCCGGGCCCGAACTCCGACGCGTGGTGGGTGAGTGAGTGCGCGGCGCCGGCCGAGGGGGGCGAGGGGGCCCAGGGGGCCGAGGGGCCGAGGGTGCTGCGCGCCCCAGTACCCGAGGCCCCGCCGCAGCCGCCCGGGGAGCCCGGGAGGCCGCGCCCACCGCCTGGCCCAGCTTCCTCGCAGGCCCTTCCGCGGGAGGCGGCGCCGGGCGGGTGGGAGAGGCGCCTCCCGGGGCCTCGGACGGGCCTGACGTCCCCCTTCGCCGCCGGGGCCCCGGGACGCCCAGCCTGGACACCCCGCTCATTGTCTCTGGACACGGCCCCCTTCCCTCCGCCCGCGTGCAAGTGGGCGCGCCATTGGCCGCGTCGGGCGGGGTCGGCGGCGGCGGTGACCTCATTGCAGTGCCCGGAGACGCCCGGCAGGCTCGGAGTCCCGGGTCCCCCTGTGGGGGCTCTCCCTGATGGGGCGCGGGCCGCCCGGGGGCCTGGTGCGGTTCCCGAGGACTGGGGAAGGCCGGAGAGCTATTTCTGGCTGGCGTTTTCCCAGGCGGTTCGCGGGGACCAGGCGTTCCTGGGAAGAGGGGCCACTCCTCAGCGGGTCGCCTGCGTCCTGGCGGTGGAGGCTGCATCTGCGCCCAGAACCAGCCTCCCCAGAAAGCTTGGGACCTCACAGCCAGGCCAGGGGCAGGTCCCCCAGCTCGGCGGCAGGGTCTGCTCCTGCCAATCCTAGTGTATTAGGCCCCAGCTCCGTCACGGAGGGTGACTCTCAGCTCAGTGGTCAGGTCTGGCCGCCACAGCTCCATGGCGCCGCTTTCCCAGGCTGTGGCTGCTGTTGCTTGGTGGGGGAAAGGCCAGTGATGGGTCTGGAAGTAAGGCTCAGGGTGGGGCAGGCATGAGGTCCCTCCCAGGATCAGACTGGCCAGAAATGTCCTCTGCCTTGGGAGGCCAAGGCGGGTGGGTGACGTGAGGTCAGGAGTTCGAGACCATCCTGGCCAACGTCCATACCCTGTCTCTACTAAAAATACGAAAAGTAGCTGGGAGTGGTGGCAGGCGCGACGCAGTAGGCTGAGGCAGGAGAATCGCTTGAACCCAGGAGGTGAAGGTTGCAGTGAGCTGAGATCCTGCCATTGCACTCCCGCCTGGTGACAAGAGCGAAACTCCATCCCCAAAAATAAAATCACTGGGCGAGGTGGTAGTTCACGCCTGTAATCTTAGCACTTTGGGAGGCTGACGAGGGCGGATCACGAGGTCAAGAGATCAAGACCAGATTGGTCAACATGATGAAACCCTGTCTCTACTAAAAATACAAAAATTAGCCAGGTGTGGTGGCGCGTGCCTGTAATCCCAGCCACTTGAGAGGCTGAGGCAGGAGAATCGCTTGAACCCAGGAGGCGGTTGCAATGAGCTGAGATCGCGCCACTGCACTCTAGCTTGGTGACAGAGCGGTACTCCGTTCCCCTCTTCCCCCCACCAAAAAAAAAAGCGAAAAAGAAAAATGTCCTCTGCCTTACCCCACCCTAGCCCAGACCAAAATACCAGGCTTGGCCAGTCCTCCTCTGCCTCCAGAATGAACCTGGAACACTCTGGCCCTTGGACCAGACCTGCGCCCTGTGACCTGACATGCCCTTGTCTCTCTAGCCTAGAGTCCTGGGGAGCTTCTGTCCACCTGTCCTACCGAGGAGTCTTTCCCAGCTGGCTGGTGAGTGCTGGGCAGAGTGGGGCGGAGCAGGCGGGCGGTTAAAGTCCGGGCTTGGCTGTGCTGTCTGGAAACGCCGCCCGGGGCGCTCAGCTGCTGTCTGCGCCCACACCCTCCCTGCCTTCCCCGTGCTCACAGCTTGCCCACTGCTTCGGGCTGGGCCGGGCGCGGGGCCTCTGGGGAGGGGCACGGCCTGTCTCTGTGCTGCCCCTCGGGTTGGTGTGGCCCCCTGTCCAGGAAAAACCCTCCCGGTCTGCCAGGCTCCACCTGCCTCCGCACTCCATTCCCCGCCTCTGGCCGGGAGGAAGGAAGAGCTTTAACAAACCGGAAATAGGGCCAGAGAACCTTAGGAAGGCGCTGAGCTGGGGCCTGTTCGAACCCCAACCCCTCCGCTTTCTCTGAGTGGCCTCCTCTGCCCTCACTGCAGGCCTGTGACGTGGGCCCCTGGGAATGCCATGGGGGGGCGGGCAGGCCGGCCTGAGCTCACTGGAGGGGCCTGCTAGGGCTTCCTCCCCCGGCTGCCAGCAGGGGTGAGTCAGCAGTGATGGCTGGAGGCCCTCCGTGACCCCCGTCCTGTCTGGGGGCACCAGGGGTCTATCCTGGCTGTACTGGGTCAGGCCCCCGAGTCGCTAGGTAAGTGGCTCACGTCCTGTTCCCATGGGGGCTCCTTCACAGGCCTCCCGGGATGGTGGCTGGCTCCGCCCCAGCTCCTGGGCTGGCTTGGGCACCTGTGTCCCTTCCTTGTAGCTGTCCTCCTGTCACGGGCCTGGTGTTGTGGCCCTGCTGACCCCTCCTGTGCCTCCCCAGCCCCAGGATGGGCGAGTTCAACGAGAAGGCAACATGTGGCACCGTCTGCCTCAAGTACCTGCTGTTTACCTACAACTGCTGCTTCTGGGTGAGGGGGGATTGCCCCGTCCCCACCCCCACCCCCGGGCCACCCTCAGACCCAGCAGACTCGGTGACCAGCGTGTGCTGCTTGTAGCTGGCCGGCCTGGCCGTCATGGCAGTGGGAATCTGGACGCTGGCCCTCAAGAGTGACTACATCAGCCTGCTGGCCTCGGGCACCTACCTGGCCACGGCCTACATCCTGGTGGTGGCGGGTGCTGTCGTCATGGTGACCGGGGTCCTGGGCTGCTGTGCTACCTTCAAGGAGCGGCGGAACCTGCTGCGCCTGGTCAGCGGGGCGGAGGCCATGGGGCGGGGGGTGTGGATGGGGCCCAAGGGGGCTTTGAACCTGTGCCCTGCTGCGCTTACCTGGCCCGGGTTGGGGTGGGGTACGGTCCTTCCCCACCTGCCCAGTCCTTTGGGTCCCCACATTCCTGCTGGACCAGCTGAGGGAAGCCACCAGCTCGGAAAGCAAGCTTCAGGGTCGTGGCAGCCCCTCAGCCCCCACCTGGAGCCTGAGAAGCCGGGATGGGGGCTCTGCTCTGAGGTGCTCAGGCACTAGGCCTCAGACGGGTGTCCTTGCCCCCCAGTACTTCATCCTGCTCCTCCTCATCTTTCTGCTGGAGATCATCGCTGGTGTCCTCGCCTACGCCTACTACCAGCAGGTGAGGGGCCTGGGCAGGCCATTCAGACAGACATGCACAGGTGGGGCACACCTGTGACACACACAGGTGACTAGCACCAGCCCCCACCCCCACGGTGCCAGAGCTGACCCACGTGCTGCTGGGCCCTGGAGGTGGAGTCTAGGTCTCTGCAGGGGAACATGAGGTCGGGCTGGTGTCCAGGGGATCCGGAAGCCCTCTGCCTCTGCCACACACACTCCACTGTCACCCCGCCCCACCCCACCTCCCCTCATCCTGAGGTCCAGCCCCAGCCGTTCCCTTTGGTCTCAGCCGGGCCCTGGGCCTCTCCCCTGCCATCCTGGGGCTCTGCCAGCCCCACCTTGAAGGGTCTTAGACTGAGGCTGAAGTTTCCTGCATCCCAACCCCAGCTGAACACGGAGCTCAAGGAGAACCTGAAGGACACCATGACCAAGCGCTACCACCAGCCGGGCCACGAGGGCGTGACCAACGCTGTGGACCAGCTGCAGCAGGAGGTGGGTGGGTGGTGCTGGGGGGGGCACGTCCATCCCCAGAGCCGCCCTGGACTCACCCTGGCCTTGTTCTTGATGCAGTTCCACTGCTGTGGGAGCAACAACTCACAGGACTGGCGGGACAGCGAGTGGATCCGCTCAGGGGAGGCCGGCGGCCGTGTGGTCCCCGACAGCTGCTGCAAGACGGTGGTGCCTGGCTGTGGGCAGCGGGACCACGCCTCCAACATCTACAAGGTGGAGGTGGGTGGGCACCCAGCGACCCGCCTAATTTAATCTACAAGGAGGTGGGGGGACAGCCCAGCGAGAGCCTGCACTGGCAGGGAGCTGACTGCCTGGGTGCTAGGGGTGGGCCTGGAACACCCTGAAAGCAGAGAGGGCCCACCTGCAGCACCCTTTGGGATCCCACAGGGCGGCTGCATCACCAAGCTGGAGACCTTCATCCAGGAGCACCTGAGGGTCATTGGGGCTGTGGGCGTTGGCATCGCCTGTGTGCAGGTGAGGGCCTGTGCGGGCGATGGTGACCTTGTCGGGGACTCGGGCAGGCGGCCGGTGGCCCCGTGGCGTCTGCTTACGCCTGCCCGGCTCTGCACACAGGTCTTCGGGATGATCTTCACCTGCTGCCTATACAGGAGCCTCAAGCTGGAGCACTACTGACCCTGCCGCGGGCTCAGCCACGCTCGAAGTGCCCTGCTGCTGCCGCCGCACCCAACTACTGAGCTGAGACTACTGCACCAGGGCTGGGCTCCCAATGCCTCCCACCCTGTGCCATCGCCAGGGCCTCTGGGGACCCAAACCCCGGAGGCAGCTTCAAGTGCCTTTTGCTGCACACCAAAGTCTGGAGGCCTGAGCCCAGTGGCAAGGGCACTGGCTGGCTGTGATGGTATGGGGAGTGGGGTGTTTCCTGGGGCTCCCTGGACACACTCCCTGCCTGGTGGTCAGGAGCAGGCTGGAAGGGGCCTTGCTGAGTGGGGCAGGGCTGGGTGTTCCCAGCAGGTAGAGGCTCTTCAGGTACTGGGGCTTTGCCTTGCAGCCACGTGGCCCCCTCCCAGTCTGGGGAAACCGACTGACCCTTGGGCCTGCACCTCTGCCCCTCCGACCCTCAACAGCCAGACCCTCTGCGGTCTTTCCCTCCACTGACACCCCCAACCGAGATGCTGTGTGGTCACTACCTGTCTGTGTGCCTGTGGGGCAGGGCTTATTCACTGCTGTATCCCAGATGCCTGCAACTGTCCCTGCCACATACAGGTGCTCAATAAACACTTGTGGAACAGACGGGTGAGCTCGCTGTGCTGGGACAGATGGTCTGTCCTCAGGGCCCTCATGTCCACAGAACAGACAGACCCACACTGTCAGCATCAAGACAAAGGCCAGAGCCAGGAGGGCAAACCCCTCACGGGGCTCCAGAGCAGGAAGGTCTAATGGTAGGGACAGCGAGCACAGGCCTCCCAGCGGAATGGAGCACAATTGCTCCTAAATGGTGTTCACAGCCCCTGAGGGAGAGGAAAATGAAGTATTTCCAAAGATGCTTCTGGCCACAGTGGGAAGCTGAAGCCTGGGGGCCATGCCCAGGTAAGAGATACCAGGCAGATGGGGTGGAAGCAGCAGGGGAATCACATGGAGGAGCTTCTAAGCCCTGCTGGGGGCCAGAGGGTAGGAGGGGTGCCAGGGCTTGGTCACTGATTGTACCCCCACTGCCCATGCCCCATCTCTAAGGCTCAGAACTGTAGACCCCCAGGCGGACCCCACTCCTCCACCAGAGGACACCATGCCAGGTATCTGGGCAGCAGGGCCATCTGGCCTGGGGTGGTTGCTGGACATCAGGGCCTCCTTAGGGCCACCTCCTGGCCCAGGTAGGGGCGTCTCAAGGCTGGTGCTGCCTTCTCCCTCGACAGGAACCTGGCCTACACTCCCTGCTAGGCTTGGGTGAGACACTCAGGGTCAGGCAGCAGCAGGCAGGGGTCAGCAGGTGCTGGCGTCGTCACCACAGCCGAGACTGTTCGGGCCCCAGAAGATCTGGCCCTTTTTCCTTTTATATAGCTGTTCTGAGAGTCTCATGCCGTTGCCCAGGCTGGAGTGCAGCGCTAACCTCCCAGGCTCAAGTGATCATCCCACCTCAGCTCCGAGTGGCTGGGACTACAGGTGTGAATGTTGTACCCAGCTAATTTATTAATTTTTTTTGTAGAGACGGGGGCTTACTAGGATGCCCAGGCTGGTCTTCCAATTCCTGGACTCAAGTGATCCTCCTCCCTTGGCCTACCAAAGTGCCAGGATTACAGGGGGAGCCCCTTTGCCCGGCCTAAATCCCGTTCTTCAGATTCCAAGAGAGAGGGTACAGGAGCCCCTGTGCTTGGCCTCAAGAGCTCCCAGAACACAGGGGCCTCAAACAGCCACAAAGTGGAAGCCTCTCCTGGCCATGCCTCCTGCAGGGGTGCCTGTGGAGCAGGCTGACCCAGGGTTGGGAGGGTTCAGGGCCTGGCTTGCCAGGGTCCTGCCTGCTGCTCTGGGCCGCTGCAGTGTGAGAGCTGGGACCTTGGTGGTTCTGAAAGAACTTTACTGGATGTTTCGTTCCAGAGTGGGGTAGGGGACGCAATCCACACGCTGCAGCCAGGCATCCCCAGTGTCTCAGTCTCATGAACGCGGGGCAGGACGCTCATGGCCCATCGTCGGCACGGTCACTTCTCTAGGGGCGCATAGTTGAGCAGCTTCTCGATCAGGTCCACGTGGGCCAGCAGCATCCGGCGGCAGCAGTAGCGCTTCAGGCCCAGGGCGTCCAAGGCATCCCTGTGTCAACGGGAGGGGTGGAGAGGCCGGCTGAGCTCCATGGTCTGCACAGGCCTGGAGCCCACGTCCAACCTGCCTCCGGGCACTGCCTGCTGGCCTCAGCCCCCTGCTACCGGCAAGGTGACCAGATCTAATCCGGGTGCATCGGAAGCTGAGACTGAGCAGTACGGTCCTGGCTGGAGCGGGAGCAGCCTCTTCTCCCACCTCCTCTGGCTGTACGTGTGTGTGTATAACATATGTAAGAAATGTAAACAAAATGAATACTACAAGCCATTTAGGGGAGCTTAGAAGACCAAGGTGCTGATGTGCAGGTCCCCACATCCAGCACCAGCCACAGCAGGGGGGCTCTCCAGGGGCCCGCCCTTAGCTGGTTCACCCAGAGCAAGCCTACTCTGCTGCTGTGGGGTCTTTCCTTACCTCTGCTTCCTTCAGTCAGGGAGAGACTGCTTCTCCAGGGAGCCACCTCCCTCATCTCCAAGTCAATCAGAAGCTTTCCCTGGGACCTAGTTCCAGTCACTCTCAAGACCTCCAGAACATTCCCACACGGATGGCTCCCATGTGTGGAGACAGAAGCTTGGGAAAGAGGCAGCCACGTGGGAGGCCCTGGCCCTTTGCATCACTGGGGAAGGGTCTGGCCAGGCCGCTGGCCACTCACTCTAGCAGCCCACTCAGCCCGTCCATTCACTTTCCTCATTCACAGGGCAAGCTGCACTGAGCGCCTATGGCAGGCCGGCACACGCCCAGGCTTCACATATGACCAAGACGCAGGCACGGTGGCGACAGCAGTACCAAGGGACAAGCGCAGGAGAAGGACTGCCTACTCCTCAAAGTCCAATGGCAAGGGCGGGCAGCAAGTCTGCCCTACATTTCTTTTCTTTCCTTTTGAGATGGAGTCTCGCACTGTCACCCCGGCTGGAGTGCAGTGGTGCAATCTCGGCTCACTGCAACCTCCGCCTCCGGGGTTCAAGCAATTCTCCTGCCTCAGCCTCCCAAGTAGCTGAGTTTACAGGCGACCAAAACCACCCCTAATTTTTTTTTGGTATTTTTAGTAGACACAGGGTTTCACTGTGTTGGCCAGGCTGGTGTCAAACTGCTGACCTTGTGATCTGCCTGCCTCAGCCTCCCGAAGTGCCGGGATCACAGGCGTGAGCCGCCGCGCCCACCCGTCCCGAAGCGGGGTTTGCAGGACATGGGGTGGGCCTGGGAGCAGAGACAGGAGATCTGGGCGGAGACCAAGGGCTTTTCTGCGGGGCACAAGGCGCGTGCGACCCGCCAGGACACCACTGGCTTGAAACCCAAGCTCCCTTCTCTCCCCGGACTTCAGGGGACAACGTTCTCCCGCGGGCAGATCACAGAGCGGAGCTGGAGAGGTCGGGCCTGAAGCTGCTCACGGGAGCGCCGGCCGCAGGCAGCGCGGCGCCTCCCGCCCCGGCCCGCACCCTAGGCCGGCGCCAGCACCGGCCCCCGGCCCCCGACCCCCGGCCCCCGGTTCCCTGCCCCCGACTCCCGGCCCCCGACCCCCGGCCCCCGGCTCCCGGCCCCCGGCTCCCGGCCCCCGACTCCCAGCCCCCGGACCCCGGTCCCCGGCTTCCTGCCCCTGGCTCCCTGCCCCCTGCCCCCGGCCCCCTGCCCCCAGTCCCCGGCTCCCTGCCCCCGACTCCCAGCCCCCGGCCCCCGACTCCCGGCTCCCGGCTCCCGGCCCCTGTCCCCGGCCCCCGACTCCCGGCTCCCGGCCCCTGTCTCCGGCCCCCGACTCCCGGCTCCCGGCCCCCGGCTCCCGGCCCCGACTCCCGGCCTCTGCTCCCAGCCCCCGACTCCCGGCCCCGACTCCCGGCCTCTGCTCCCAGCCCCCGACTCCCGGCCCCGGGCCCCGGCCCGCGCCTCACCCCTCGGTGTATTCGGCCTGCAGGAGCCCCAGGTAGGCCTCCCACTTGTTGCCGACGATCTTGCCACAGGTGAAGCAACGCACCGGAATGATCATGGCGGCGGCGCGTCCCAGACTGCCCGGCTGGGCCCGGCGACCCGCGAAGATCCCCCCAGGCCCCGCCCCGGGCGCGTCCACTGTGGCGGGGGGACCGGCTCCGCGCGTTCTCCGCTGCCCCGGCCGTTCCCCCACCAGCCCTGGCGTCGTTGCCCGCGGTTTCCGCCGGGATGGGCTTTCCCCGTGCGTCCCGGGGCTTCCGGGTCCGCGCGGCCGCGGCAGCAGCAGACGGCCCCCCCCGGCCGCCGCCTTGGTTCGTCCCGGCGCTACGGAGTCTGATTGGGGCCAAAAGGCCCCCGCAGCAGCGGTTCGCGTTTCTCGTGTCCGCTTGACTGACAGCTGCGCGGCGGGAGCGGACGGCGGGAGCGGGAGGCGGCGGCGCAGGTACCGCGCCCGGAGGTGGGGAACGCGCGGCCAGTGTCCCGCGGCCCGAGGGGTCCGACCGGGAGCTTCTGGACACGCACGCGAGCGCGGCGCGGGAGTTCGAGCCCGGAGCCGACACGCAGCAACAAGTGGGGTCCCGCGCGGGGGCTCGCGGAGAGGGCGGGCGGGGGCGCGGAAGGTCTTCCTGCCGCCCCTCCTCGCCCCGCCGGGTGGAGGGTCCCTCCGCCTCGGCCTCTGCCCGCGGGGTGTCCGGGGGTCCCATTCCGGCCGCGGCCCGGCCCCTAGGGGCCCCGCCCTGGTCTCGGCCGCGCGGTCACGGCCCCCGCCGGCCGCCCCCTGCCCTCGTCCGCGTTCTGCCCGCTCTTTCCCGGGAAGGGGGTCGGGGTAGGCCCGCTCGGGTCCCGGCTGTGCTGGGCTGCCCGTCGTCCCGGGCCCCCGACGCTCGGACGCGCCTCTGAGCACGGGGCGAGGGGGCCCGGGAGGGAGGTCGTGGAAGAGGTGCTGAGCCTTGAAGACCCCGGCACAGGGGACCCCTGGGCGGACCCCGCAGGCTGCACCGGCAGGACCCGCTCAGCCCTGCCCTGGAGCGCAGGGCCCGCAGAGGCCTAGGTAGAGGAGGTGCCCGGGACTCTCGGATGGAGTGCGGGGGGGCCGTGCCCCTGGGGTGGGTGAGGAGATGAGCAGATGAGCGCGCCTCCCTGGGGCTGCGAGGTGGGCTGGGGGGCGTCGGCGTGCTGCGGGCCGGCCTGGGGCCTCTGGCTGCGGTGGGCCTCTGTTCATCCTCTGCGTTTTCTCAGGGCAACGCTGGGTCGGCCTTAGCTGCAGGGGAGGGGGATGAAGGGTTTCCTGGGTCCAGAGCGGTGCCGGCCCTGTCCACCGCACACTGGGGGTTTGTGCTCCCACCCTGGCCAGAGCAGTGGGCAGCCTCCCCGGTGGCATTTGCCATACCCCACCCAGCCACGTGCAGAGCCACGAGCCGAGGCCACTTCCCTTCCCCGTCCCCTCCCCCCAGGATGAGTGGACGCACATCCTGCTCTGGGCAGAGGGGCCGGACAGGGGCCGTGAGTAACCGTGGCCTGGGGTCAGAGCCGGGCTCAGCTGCAGAGGCTGCTGGTGGCTGTGGAGGTGAGGGAGGCAGCGGGGTCCGGATGTCAGCAGGGTGGGCCCTGGGGAGTGGGTGGGGGCTCGGAGGCTTTCTGGAGGAGGGTCCAGTGCCTATCCCGCCCCTGTTCCTGCCTGCAGGAGTTGTTTACTCGGAGCGCCGGGCGGGGGGAGGGAGCTGCCATCCAAACCCCGGCTTGGGCCAAGCTGACATTCCTGGAATTCCGAGTGTGTGAGCTTCCCATCCCTCTGTTTCCCCGCAGAGGCCCTGAGACCTGGAGGCCGCCCCGGCCTCTGGCTCTGCGCTTCTCCTCGAGCCCCCACCACATGGGTGCCGAGGCTCCTGCGGGCCCAGGCCTGTCCTGAGCCCTGACCAGGCTCTACTCGGGCCTCTGGGGAGCCTGCGTCTGCCTCAGCCTGGCTGGTGTGTCTCCTGCGAGTGTGTGGGGCGGGCGCAGGCTGGGGCCTGGGCCCGGCCCTCCGCAGGCTAGCGGGGGTGGGAGGGAGCCTGGTGGGGGGCAGGGCGCTGTGCCGGCCAGTGGGGGCGGGTGGCTGGTGAGGGCCCCTCTCTCCTGGGCAGGGAGTGTCGCCACAGACTCCCTGGGCTGGGGACGGTCTGGGACGGGGCCAGGGGGATGAGGTGCTGGTTTTATAGAAGGAGGCGTTGTGGAGCCTCTGGTGGTCAGGGCAGGCTTCAGGCGGGGGAGGGTGGGCGCCCAGGGCGCTTCCTGCTAGAGGAGGGGTCACTTCAGGGCGAGGGACCAGGGGAAACCCGTGATTGAAGTTTTAGCGGCTGAGGCCCGCCCACCCTGGGCGTTGCCCTGGAAACAGGCCAGCCGCGGACCGGGAGGGCTGGGGGGCGGGGCACGGACCGAGCCGGGCCGGGATTCAGCTGGACCTGCGCCCTGGTCCTGGCTCAGCCTGCAAAGCCCAGGTGGGACCAGCCAGTGCCCACCAGGAGGCCGCGTCACTCCTGCCGCTGAGGCCGGGCATGACCTTTGGCTGGGAGAGGGTGGTGGTGGTGGTGCCTGTCGCCTGGCCCCCACACCTGTGCCCTCTGGTCCGTCCGTGCCTGGGATGGATGTGTGCTCACTCCCAGGTTGCTGTGGGGTGGGGTGGGTGCACATGTGCCCAACACCTCAGCGGCACGCACAGCCAAGGCCACCGCCCACTGTACACGCCGCAACAGCATTTAGCCCAGGCTGCCTGGGTCCTCCCTGCTGTCCTGGGAGACAGCTTTGTGAGCAATGGGCTGAGGTTGGACTGGCCCAGCCTAGCCACCCACATGCTTGGGCTGGTGGCATTTGGCAATGTTGCTGCCGGCCATGCAGCTGCCTAGGCCCTGTGTGACCCCAGACTGTGGTGCAGGGGTCCAGGTGGGATGGGCAGGGCCAGGGCTGTGGTGGCATGGCACCTGGGGTGGGCTGCTCCCCGAGCCCGAAGGCGTCCCCGCCCCCAGGCCTACGTGTGTGTGTGTTGCCTTCACCCTCAGCCCCTAGCAGAGAAGTACCCGACAGTGCAGGGGAGGGGCGGGGGGAGGCCTGGAGCGTGCAGTTGGCCTCGGTGACCCAGGAGGAAAGACTGGGGGGCCCTGGACTGCCTGTCCCTCCCCTGCAGCTGGGGGTGGTCAGAGTGGGGGGCTCCAGCCTCAGGGCTCAGGTTTGGTGGGAGGGGCCTGGTCCCACCTGGCCTCGGATCCCCCAGTCCCTGCTCCTCTGTGTGCATGAGGGGCTGCCCGCTTGCTTGGGACCCCCCAGGGTGAGGGTCTGAGACAGGCACTGGGGCCACCAGGAAGCACACACCACAGTCTGTGTTCGTGGGCCTCCCTCCTCCTCAAAGCTGCCTGGGAGCCCATGGGCCTGGGGGGGTGGTCAGGGTGTGTGGGCTTGGCTCTGTCCTGAGCTGCCCCTGCTGGGCTGTGTGGAGACCCTGGGGTCTGAGCTGGGCTTGGACTGAGCTGCTGCCGTGCTGCTGGGGCTCAGAGGCCGCTCCGCTGGCATGGCATCAGGCTCCGCAGACAGGCAGCTTTGGCGAGTGGGCAGGCCCCTCCTTGAGTGGGACCTCCGTCTGGCCTGGTGGGTGTCCGAGGCGTCCTGGCAGCTCCGGTGTCTGTCTTGGGGCCTAGCTCAGCCAGGCTGGGGCGGGAGCCTCTGTGGCTCCCTCCTGCCTTGGGCTACTGGCAGGACAGTTATCTCACGCCAGAGAGCTGGGTTCGAGGGGTGAGGTTGCGGGGCTGAGCTAGCAGGGCAGGGAGTAGTGGGCACTGCAATTTGCTGCCCAGGTGAGTTTGGGGCCAGAAGTCCCTGAGTGCAGGAGGACAGACTGCCCGACCTGGCACCCATGGTGGAGGAGGGCTTTCAGGGTCATCACTGGCAACTCCATGGGAGTGTGTAAGGCCCCTTCCTGAGCTCGGGTGTCAGCTCAGAGCTGAAGGCAGGGTGGGTGGGGGTGCCCCAGCCTGGCCGGAAGCAGACAGCAGGCTGCTGGTCCAGGGTCCGGGACCCCCGGGAGGAGGCACTGCTGTGTGTCTGTGTGTGTGCAAGCAAGGGTCTGGACCTGTGTCTCTGCATGTCACATCTCTGAACATGCGTGTTCTCTGCACACTGTGTCTCCATGAGTGGGAGCCTGTGGCCCTGCCTGGCTGTCTCAGTGGCCTGAGTGAGCAGAATTTGGCAGCTCACTTGCTGTTTCAAGGCTCTCCTGGTTGGGGTGCTCCATAGGGGTCTTGCTCCCGAGTCAGGTGCACTCCTTGGCCACCCCGACTGCCCCTCTGCCCTGTGGTGACAGGGCCCCGGGGGGTGTTCCCTACCCTCCTCTGGGAGCATCTCTGGCTGTGCAGCTGAGGGTGGAAACCAGGGCTCCACTCTGGCTCTCTCTCTTCTGCAGAGCTTGGGGCTACCTTGGCCGCACCCACCGCCCGCCCACCCACTGGTCAGCCTTCCGGGGGCCCTGAGCACCGCCCGGCCTCCTTTCTCTGGCCAGCCCAGGTACGTCACGGCCCGGCTGGGCTGGGTGGTGTGTGGTGGGCAGCACTGGCCTGCTGCTGGGTCTCCTGCCCAGCCCAGGGGCCTTGCCAGCTGGACACTCTGACCCCAGACCTCAGCTTCTCCATTTGGAGCTCCTGTGGGGAGGGGCTGGACTTTGGAGACAGGGCCCCACTGGGGTGTCGAGGAAGGACGCTCCCTGACCGGGCTCTGACATCGTGGCCTCTCCCAGGCTCCTGCCTGCGTCTGGTCAACCCAGTATGAATCCCGAGCTTGGCATCAGAACTAAGCCCAGCCTGGCTCGTACTGGCCCTTGGTGGCCTTGATTGAGTTTCCATTTCTTCTTGGATAGGCCTTATTTGCTCATGTCGGCGACATGTGCAGGGCTTTGTAGTTGGGAGGGGGTGGAAGGGGTCTTAGGGTCACTGCATCCTGGGCGCCGGGCTCAGTTCAGGTACCCAGACCAGCTCTCCCTTCGCCCTCCCACCTGCCTGGGACCCTCAAGCTTTGCTTGTCACTTCCCCTTCCAGCCTCAGCCACTGAGGGGTACAGGAGAGATGGGGCAGAGGGCCACTGGCTGGCATGGGGGCAGACGCTCTCCTGGGGTAGGGTCGGTGTGTGGGGAGGAGGCTTGGGTGGTGGTTTTGACTCCAGGTAGGGTCTGGCTTCTCCTAGTCAGTCTGGGGTCCTCCGGGGTCCCCGTGGCTCCTCCCCTCGCCTGGCCCACAGATAGGTGCTCTGAGCTCTGTCCAGTCCATGCGAGCTCACTGGAAGCACTGCCCACGGCTGGGTGTCTGCCCTAAGGTTGGTGCCACCTGATCTCTGGGCAGAGCTGTGGGTGAGGTTCCCGTTAGGGCCAGGATCCCAGGGTTCCTGGGGTCTCTGCTGGGCCCCTGATGTGTGGCCGCCGTTCTGACGTGTTCCTTCTGATGTGTTCTGACTCACCAAAGAACCCTCGGGAAGGGCAGGGGAGGGGCCGTGGGAAGCCGCAGGCTGGCTGTGTGGGTCTTCAGGGGACCTCCGGGCTGGCCTCCTGTTCTCTGGGGCCCTCTGTCCACTTCCTCCAGGGAGGACCCGGGCTTGGACCGCAGTTCTCCACAGAGTCCTCAGGGGGGCACCCAGCCCAGGTCCTCAGAGGTGGGCAGAGGTGCAGGACCCCCCTGGGCACCCAGGGCTCCCGCAGCAGCCCTCCCCAGACCTGCCACCTCCCACCCCAGTCACTCCGGGAGGACCCAGGCCTCCAGAGCTGGTCAGCCCCGCCAGGGAGCACCTCTTCCCCTCCCTCCTTTTCCTCCCTGACCTTCCTCATTCCAGATCTCTGCGCTTCAGGTCAACTGCTGGGAATCCGGGCCACCTGCTGGTGTCTCCCTAACACCACAGGGGCCTCACGCCCTGTGCTCGGGCTGGGCTTTGGAGACCGGAAGGCTGGCGTCACGGCCGTGGGAGGCATGTGCACGTCCAGCGTGAGGACCCAGGAGTCGGCTGCATCTTCCACGGGCCTGTCTGTGCCTGTCAGGGGTGGGGTAGGGTCTCTTGCAGGCCGACTTCCAGCCTGGGCTGGAGCAAAATGAAATTCTGGGCCCCTTGTTTAAAAATTACCAAGAATTGGGGCCGGGCGCGGTGGCTCAAGCCTGTAATCCCAGCACTTTGGGAGGCCGAGGCGGGTGGATCACGAGGTCAAGAGATCGAGACCATCCCGGTCAACATGGTGAAACCCCGTCTCTACTAAAAATACAAAAAAGTAGCTGGGCATGGTGGCGCGTGCCTGTAATCCCAGCTACTCAGGAGGCTGAGGCAGGAGAATTGCCTGAGCCCAGGAGGCGGAGGTTGCGGTGAGCCGAGATCGCGCCATTGCACTCCAGCCTGGGTAACAGGAGCGAAACTCCGTCTAAAAAAAAAAAAAAAAAAAAAAAAAAAAAAAAAAAAAATTACCAAGAAAAAATTTACTAAGAATTTTTCTTTTCTTTTTTGGAGACAGCGTCGCTCTGTCACCAGGCTGGAGCGTAGTGGTGCGACCTGGGCTCACTGCAACCTCCACCTCCCGAGTCCAGGCGATTCTCCTGCCTCAGCCTCGGAGTAGCTGGGACTGCAGGCGCGCGTCACCACTCCTGGCTAATTTTTTTTTTTTTTTGTATCTTAGTAGAGACGAGGTTTCACCGTGTTGGCCAGGATGGTCTCGATCTCCTGACCTCGTGATTCGCCAGCGCTGGCCTCCCAAAGTGCTGAGATTACAGGCCTGAGCCACTGCGCCCGGCCAGAAATTACCAAGAATTGAAAGACGGGGAACAGCAGAGTATCGGGCCAGCTGGGGTGGGTGCACGTGACTGCCCTTGAAGCCGTCCCGCTACCGCCTTGGGGACCGCACGGGGCAGAGGCCGAGCCGGGATCACCTCCAGCGCCCTGGGTCTGGCCCGAGGCGCCTTGGTAATGACCCCTGCACTCTTCTGTGTTCTGGAACCTCCGGTATAGTCAAAGCCTCGCCGACACCCCCTCCATGCGGTGCAGGCTGACCCAGTCCCCCTGGCACCCAGGGCTCCCCAAGTTGCCACCAGTCAGCACAGGGCCACCCTCCATTTGCGTAGTGTTTTGTATATCGTCGGCGTTGTCGAAGTCTCGAAGCCCGGCCCGGGCGAGGTCCCGTGTGGGGAAGCGCTGGGGGCGTCGCTCGCGGGCTGAGGGCTACCCGGGTCTCCCTTCCGGCCCCGGCCCGGTCCCCGGTCCCCTCGGATGCCCTTCGCGAGCATCCCCGTTTCGCGCGCGCCAGGTGGGGAGGGCCGGGGCGCCGGCGCGGCGGAGGGGCCGGGGTCGCGGCGGGTGCGCTGCCGGGGGCTGCGGTGATTGGTCGGCGCGGGCGGAGCGCTGGGGTTTGCGGGCGGCGCGGCGGGCAGGGGAGGGGTCCGCGCGGGGGCGGAGCCGCCGGGGATTGGCCGGGAGGGCGCCGGGAGGGCGCGGGGAGGGCGCGGGGCGGGCGGGGCGCACGGGGTCTGGGGCGCGGGGCCGCGGCGCGCGGGCCGGGCAGGTGGCGGGGTCCCGCCGCCGGGGTCCGCTGCGGCCGGAGCGGGCGGGATGGGGCGTTCCGGGGCGGCGGGCGCGGGGCGCTGAGCTGCGGCCCCGGCACCCGGGCGCGATGCGCCGCTCCAGCACGGACGAGTCCACGTACCGGCGCAGCCCCTCGCCGGAGGGCAAGGAGCCGGGCTTCGCGCGCGGAGGCCCCTTCCGGCGCTACAGCGGCCTGTGCGGGCGCGCGGGCGGCGGGGACGCCGGGGGCGCCGGGGGCGGCGGCGCCTTCTTCGGCCTGCACGCGAACCCCGGCCCCAAGGCCGCCCAGGCGCGCTACACGTCGCCCAAGGGCAACAAGTACGTGGTCTTCTACCTGGACCTCTCCTTCATCTTCCTCCTAGAGCTGAAGCGCTGCGGCATGGCGCGCGCCTGCCTCCAGGCCGTCAAGTACCTCATGTTCGCCTTCAACCTGCTCTTCTGGGTGAGTCCGGGGCCGGGCCGGGGGCCGGGGAAGGACGCGGGGGCTCCGCTGCGGCGGGTGGCTGGGTCTGGGGACCGCAGTCGCTGCCCCGGCCGGGCCCTGGGTGCGGTTGGGGGGCTCCCGGGAGGACCCAAGCCCAACGCTCCGGCCGGGGGTCTGGACTGCTTGGAAGGTTTTCGCCATCACGGGGTCCGCCCCCTGCGCTCCCGGCGGAGCGGCTGCCCCGCGCCCCGTCCGCTTCGTCTTTGGATGAGACGGGACGTGTTGCGCACGTGCGCGCCGGACGGGGCCGACCCGGGCACTGCGCCTCTCCCAGGGTCGGGGTTCGAGTCCAGGTCGTGGCCACCAGTGTGTGGGGCCGCGGGGCCTCCCCTGGGCGCGCTCGCTCCTCGGTGCAGCCGAGATCCTGACCTCAGCCCCGCCCCTCCGGGCCCAGGACTCACGTCCGAGGGCTTGAGCCGGCTGCCGCCGAGGTCCCCCGGTCTCCGTCTCCGGGAGGCGCTGCGGAAGGGAGGGGAGTCCCAGATACTGAGCCATGAGCGGCCGCGGGAGACTGGCTTCCCGAAGTTTTACCGAGGCGGGTCAGGTTTGCTGAGACCTGCAGAGGTGTCCAGGGTGGGCCCTGTGTGCTGGGCGGAGCGGAGCTGAGGCGGAGGACGGACGGAGTTCCACCCCACCCAGGCCATGTCATGTCAGCAGGAGGTGGGGCCCGGCCCTTGGAGCAAGCCGCGACCCTGTCCCGTCCCTCGCCACTGTGGGAAGTGGCAGGAGTTCAGGGTGGCCAGGGTGGCCGGGCCTGGGGCTTCATGGATGGGCTGGGGGAGGCGTGGGGGTGATGCCAACGTCGTTCTGTGCCCTTTCCTGGATTCCTGAACCTGCTCCTGCAGCTGGGGGCCGGGGGTGTGGCCTTAGCGCCTGCCTGGGCTCTGGGCCTCAGAAGGAGGCTGTCGGTCTGCATGAGGTCCCGCTGGTAGTACCCAGAAGCCTGGGTGGGCCTTCCCACCTCTGCCCTCAGCCCCGGCTCCTTCCCTCCCCAGCGTGGGGTGGGACTAGGGGAGGGGGGTCCCTGGCAGGGACAGGCAGCCTGGGCTGCCTGCTGGGTGTCACCCAAGGAGGCTACTGCCCCAGATGTCCACTTCCAGAAGGGGTCACCACTAGGGTTTGTCTTCTGCAAGAGGCTCCGGAGGGGTGAGCCCAGGCCCTGGGGGCGCCTTGGCGGTGGGGGTGGCAGGAGACGTGGGTGTGGGCTGGTGCTGGTGGGGGGGTGACTGAGTGACTAGAGTGCCTCTGTGATGGGGGATGGGCCGGAACGACTGAGGTGCAGTGGCTGTGGGGCCTGGCGGGTCCTGGGGGGGAAGCCTCTCCCCTCTACACTCTCCTCTCCTTGGTGGCCTGGACACCTGCCTTCAGGGAGAAGGAGGGGGTCCTGCAGGGGAGTCTTTGTGAACCCCAAAGAAGCCTCCCTTCCTACTGCATGGCAGACACACTCCGCCGCCATCTGGGAAAGAAAGCACCAGGAATCCTCCTGGGACCCTGTTGTGGGCTGGAAAATCCGATTCTCTCTCTTTTTTTTTGAGACGAAGTCTTGCCTGTTGCTGAGGTTGGAGGGCAGTGGCCTGATCTCGGCTCACCACAGTCTTCTTCCCAGGTTCAAGTGATTCTCCTGCCTCAGCCTCCTGAGTAGCTGGGATTACAGGCGTCCCCCCCCACCACGCCCAGCTAATTTTTGTATTTTTAGTAGAGACAGGGTTTCACCATATTGGTCAGGCTGATCTTGAACTCCTGACCTGGTGATCTGCCCGCCTTGGCCTCCCAAAGTGCTGGGATTACAGGCGTGCACCCAGCCCCAGTTTTCTTATATTACTCAATCATCACCTGCTCCCCTAGTCTAGCAAACGGGAGCCCTGCCAGCCTCATACACCAGCCTTGGCCCCATCCAACCCAGCTGGCGTCCAGTGGGGGTCTGAGGCTGGAGGTGGGGCAGGGTAAATAAGGATGGGTGGGGGTTTTGCCAGGAGAGTCTGTCCTGGGCTGATGTCCACGCCTGCTGTGTCCGGAGCCACTGTGGGCTAAGCCCCTTCTCCTGGGGTGGGGCTGCTTTGGGAGTCAGGCCTAGCTCGCCCCTCGCCGGGACCCCTTTCCCTTTGGGGGTGCCAGCCTCTGTTGGAGGGGCTTTTGCTGCCCAGTCGATTTCTCACTTAGTGGGAGACCGGGGGCAGAACCCTGCGTCTGTCTGTCCTGATCTCTCACTGCCCGAGTTGTGCTGGGCCTATGGGGAGGGCATGGGGAAGCCTCAGTGGGCAGTCAGTGTCCAGAGCCGTGGGCAGTGGTGGGAGCCAGGGTGGGTGAGGACAGGTGTGTGTGGCGGGGGGCTGGGCCTGTCCTGGGTGTGGCTGGGGTGAGGGGTCGTCTGGCATTGGGGGTGGGCGTCCCTGGCACCTGCGCGGTGGTCTGGGTGCAGCGGTGGCTCTGCTGTCTCTCCCTGCCCCCGCCTCGCCTGGCTGCCCCTCACCTTCGCTCTCCTGAGCCCTTGGCCCCAGCCCGGCACCCCTTTCTCCTGCCTTTGCCTCTGTCCTCTCCTTGAAGCCCCCCTTCCAAATGCAGACCCTCCAAGGCCCTCACAGTATTCCTGGCTGCCAGGTCTCTTCGGGCCCAGGCCCGAGCCCCCTGCACACCCTTGGCCAGGCTGGGGCCCTGGCTGAGACCACAGCCGCTGACCGGGGCGGCCTTGGGTCCTACCCGGGAGGGGAGGGGTGGGGCTCGCTCCAGAAGGCTGAAGGCTGATCGGCTATTTCTGTGCCGCGTCGGGTCAGGCTTCCTGGGCAGGCATCCTTGCTGGTGTCTGGGAGGGGGGCTGTCAGAGGGGCTGTGCCCAGAGCCTTCAGCCTTGGGTGGAGTTCGGAGGGTTACTGGGACGGCCAGGGTGCGGGGAGGTAGGATGTGTCGTGGCCTGGTGGTGGGGGACGCGGTGGGGCCTTCAGTGCCAACTCCTAGCCCCATGGACATCTGGGGACACACCTGCCTGCCTTCAGGAAATCGAGGCCCCCACCTAGTGATGGCAGCTCCACTGAGGCACGGATACTGAGCCCTCCTCGCCCTGCAGAGGGTGGGGTTGGGAAGCAGGGTCCCTTTGGTGGGGCCGGGGTGTCTCCCGGGAGCCCCATGCTGGAGGGGGGCTGGCTGCAGGGCCCAGGAGCCTGAGCCAGGTGTCCTGAGCTGAGGCATGAGGCACGTGCCGACAGACCCAGGTGAGCCGCAGTGAGGGTGGGGGCTCTGCGCCCCGGGACCCCGCCTCGGGGCCTCTGTGCTGCCTTGTCAGCTCAGCCTCTGCCAGCAAAGCTCTTCCCTTAATGGAAGTGGAGTCCCGGAGGTGGGGGGGCGGGGAGAGGACGGGCCCTGCTCCTCCTGCCGGTCGGGGGCAGAGGCTGCCGCGCGACCTCGAAGGTGCTGCCTGGAAGGGCTGCCCTCCCCCTCTTCTTCCCGCCCCCCCACATGCCCACCCGGAAGCTCAGGCCCTCTGTGCACAGTGTGGTCAGGGCCCGCCTCGGGGGCCAGAGCCCTGCCTGCCACTGTGGGACCCTGGACCTCATTTCCCATCTGCACCACGTGGGGTGGCACAGGGTGAGGTCCCCCGATGCTGGCCTGGCACGGGGAGGGGTGAATGGAAATGTGGGGGGCCCCTCGGCCTCCCCCCGCCGCCTGCACCGACTCCTGGGGGCATGTGAGTATCACAGCCTGGAGGGGGTGCAGCAGGGCCAGCCCTTGGCTTCCCTCCCCTGGGATGAGCTGAGAGCTGGCAGATGACGTGGCCAGCCCGCCACAGTGGACAGCACAGCGTCCCCCGGGGGTGGCAGACACTCTGCCTCCAGCTCCCGGGCCTCTCTTTGAGGACTCCAGGCTGGCCTGTGAGGTGGGGATGGTGGCAAACACCAACGATTCGTTTCTGAACAAAAGCCCCAACGTGGGGAACCAGGGCGTGCCTGAGCCCTGGGGAGTGTGTGGCTCCCTGTGGGTGGGGTGCAGCCGTGGTCGGTCGGGGATCCTGCCTGCCCGGTGGTGGGTTCCAGGCAGCTCTGGTGCTGCTGGGGGTGGGTGGACTTGTGCAGCTGGTGGCCTGGCTCTGTGGGACCTGGTGGCGCAGGCCTGGCTCTGTGGGACCTGGTGGCGCAGGCCTGGCTCTGTGGGACCTGGTGGCGCAGGCCTGGCTCTGTGGGACCTGTACAGCTGCGGTGTCCCAGCTGGTGGTGGGCGGGCAGCTGGGCCTCTGTGTGGAGGGGGCTCTTTGGGGCAGGGATGTAGCATTGGCAGCTCAGGGCTGCAGGGGGCAGGTGGAAGTCAGGAGGCCCCCGTGGGGGTGCGGGAGTGAGTGTGAGCCGTGGCCCTGCCCAACCACGGCCAGCCGCTCCCGCGCAGCCCTGTGAGGTCACAGCCTCCTCCTGGATTCCTCCCCGCCCTCCGGCAACCTCCTGCTCACGCCGCAGGACCCGGCATGGCGCCCTGGCAGGTGACCCCTGGCAGGGGCTGTTCTGCCCTCCCTGCCTTGGACACTGGCCTCGGTGGGCCTTGGTCACTGGGTGGGGGCTGGTCTCCTCATCTCTGGGCCCTGGGGGCTCTTGGAGAGCTGCTAGGGTCAGGGGTGTGGACATGAGACCACTGCTGTCAGCAAACAGCACAGTGAACCACGCAGGTCGTAAGTGGGTGGACTCGTCAGCCCTGGAAACCAGCCTCCCAGCCACAGCGGGACGTCCGCCAGCCCAGAGGGTCCTGAGGCTGTGCTGGCTGCCTGCGTCCCTGTCTCTGGACAGAGCCCTGGCCCCTGCAGGGACACAGACCCCCATCCTGTTCCAAGGACGTGGCCGGCAGCCCAGCCATCTGCCACAGAAAGCCACGTGGCCGGAGGGACAGTGGGCCTGGAGGAAGCACACTCCGCACGCCTGCCCAGGAGGCTCAGGGGCTGTCCAGACCAGAAGAGAGGGGCAGGGCCGTGGGTGCATGGGCCTCAGCAGTATCTGCACACGCCAGCACTTGGGGACGGCCCCCGAGCCTCTTGGGCGGATGCTGGGGGACGGCCCTCCTGAGCCTCTTGGGCCGCCATGGGTTCCTAGTTTTGGGCAGAACCATCAGTTGCTGAAGATCAGGGTGAGCGTGTCGGATGGACATTGGCCAGAGGTGGTCTCAAGCAGGTGCCGGGAACGGGTTCTGTCCCCAGAAGTGGACAGTGGGCAGTGCGAGCTTCTGCCTGGGAGAAGGACGGGCTGACCATGGTGGTGAAGAGGTCTGGGAGGGGGGTCCCTCTCTCGGGCTGTCTCCCCAGCTGTCATGGGGGCAGGGTCACCTCCCACCTGAGCTTGTGTCTGGCCTGCTGGGGGCAGCAGTGAGGGAGGGGGCCTTTCGGCCTATTCCTGTTCATATTGAGCAGGCAAGGAGGGAGCTTGTCTGTTTTTTTGGGGCCAGGCCCAGATGCTGGGTGGGACCCTGGAAGCATGCAGCAGGCTGCCAGCCAAACGCCCAGCTGCTGCCCGCCGGCTGCCTTTGACCAAAGAGGGCCCTGGCCCTCCTGGCCTCAGCCGTGTTCCTCCTGCCTTTGATGTTCTGTCTCCAAGCAAATGGGGCCCATTTTCTCTTGCACTTCGAGGCTATAATTTTCCTGCCAAAATGTTTTAAAAGCTTACACAGAAACGCTTTCAAAATTGCAGGTAATTTTACTAACCACGTGCGTGCGTTTTGTCTGTGTGTGTGTCTGCCGGTGTGCAGGTGAGGTATGCTGGGGCCTCAGGGCCTGGGGGACCCCGGCTTGCAGGGCGAGACCTCGAGCGTGGGTGTGACCACGGGTGATGGTGTGGGGCGTCTGGGACATCGTGGGCTATCGTCTGTCAGTGTGTGTGGCCGAACCAGGCTGCCGACAGTGAGTGGGTGTCTACCCTGCCGTGTGGTGGAGGTGAGGAATGTTTTGTGGAATGTTAATTAGGGAAATAAACTCCTGCCGGGCCCGGGGTTTGGAGGTGTAGAGCCCCTTCCTGCCCAGTCCCGTGGAACGGGGTGCCACACCTGGCATGGTGCCAGCCACTCTGCATGCGCCCTCCCTGTGCCCTTCAACGTGTTCCCATGAGGCAGGGGAGCTGGGAACAGCTCATTTTCCTGCTGACAGGAGCGGTCTGTCGTCCTTGGAAGGCAGAGGCTGACGGCACAGGCAGGTTTTTTTCTTGAGACCGAGTCTTGCTGTGTCACCAGGCTGGAGTGCAGCGGCACGATCTCGGCTCACTGCAGCCTCCACCTCCCAGGTTCAAGCAATTCTCCTGCTTCAGCCTCCGGAGTAGCTGGGACTACAGGTGTGCACCACCACGACCGGCTAATTTTTGTGTCTTTAGGAGAGACAGGGTTTCACCACGTTGGCCAGGCTGGTCTCGGGCTCCTGACCTCGTGATCTGTGGGTTTTATTTTTTTTTTATAAAGGCGGGGTTTCACTGTGTTGGTCAGGCTGGTCTTGAACTCCTGACCTCAGGTGATCCACCCGCCTTGGCCTCCAAAGTGCTTGGATTACAGACGTGAGGCACCACGCCTGGCCCAGTTTAGGTTTTAAATGACAGTTTTCTCTGTTGCGCCAGCGCCTCCCCGCAGCTCAGGGAACTGCACCCGCCAGCCTGGGCCTTCGGCCTGGGATCCGACCTGCAGGCAGCTAGGTGCTTGAGCCCAGGGTGTGCTCCGAGCTGGCGACGCCCGTCTCCTCTCCTGGGGCCTCTGGTTTCCCTCTGATGTCCAGCCTCTTCCACGGGGCAGGCCCAGAGCCAGCGGGGCTCCACCCTCCTGCCGCGCCACCTGGTGATCCGGACCAAGGGCACATCCCTCTTCTGCCCGGTTCTTGGGCAGTGCCAGTGCCAGGCCATGTGTGGGTCCCCGGTGCCCTATCTGCCCCTCCATGAGACCTGGGAACACTGGGATGACATGAGGACAGCCCAGGGAAGGTCAGGGTTCCCATGTGCTCCTCGGGAAAGACGCCAGTTCTGCCCAGCCTCATCTGCACTGATCTGTCTACATGGCACCTGTGGCCTCGTCTGGCCTGGTCTGTCTGCATAGGACAGGGGCTCTCATCTGGACTGTTCTCTACACGAGGTGTGTGGCCTTGTGTCTGACATTCAGGGGCAGGACTGAGTGGGCCACTGCCTGTCCAGATCTCTCCAGTGCTCCAGGATTTTATGGGGGACACCTCCCCAAAGATGAGTGGGGGCACCACACCCCCGGTCAACACTGTGGACAGCTCATCTGCTGGAAAGTGGGGGCGTCTCTGTAGAGCTGGCAGACCCCTGCCCATCCTGGGACTGTGCCCCAAGCCCAGTGCTCCTGGTGAGGACAGATCCTCTTGATTAGGGAGGTCCCCTCACTTGTGCCACAGACCTGGCCTCTGGTCCTGCACAGTCCAGACACGCACACCCTGGCTCACACACAACCCGGCTCACACCCACCCCAGGCTCACACTCACCCCAGCTCACACCCACCCTGTTCTCATGCTCAGACTCACACCCACCCCAGGCTCACTCACCCCGGCTCACACTCGGGCTCACACTCACCCCAGGCTCATGCATCCCTCCCCTGGTGCACCCCCAGGCCACCCTCCACCGGGCTGTGCTGACTCCCTCCCCAAGCCTGTTCCTGGTCTTCTGGGAAGCCTCCCCTATCCCCCTAAGCTGCCTCTGGGGCTGGGTTTGTCAGAAGCCACACCCAGGCCGGGCGCTGTGCCCAGGTCTCCTGTCAGCTCCTCAGCAGCCCCCCTGGAGCCAGCAGGTCAGCACTTGCCTGAGGGTACTCCCGGTCCTGGGGCCCAGAGCACGGGGGTGACATGTCTTCCCGCACTGTCCAGCTCCCCCGCACCCCCATGCCTGGCTGCTGGGGAGGGCTCTGGGCTTGGGGGTGGGAGCTCCACAGAACCAGGAGCCACGCTGGCTCAGCAGAGCTTCCAGGACGGGCCCGTGCACCATCCAGACAGCGTTCCGTTTTGGACGTTAATTGGAGATGCTGCCTTTGGAAGGCCTGCGTATTCTCCCCAAGACAGCCTGAGCATGTGTGGCACCCCTGGGGCCCCAGCAGGGCGATTCTGCTCTGAGGGCATTTTGCAAGACACCAGTGAGAGGCCTGGCCTGCACCCCTGGGCACCAGCGGCCACCCCTGCCCTTGGGGAGGAAGCTGTGTCCACCTCCCCAGCGTGCAGGCTCCTGCCAGCCAGCCAGTGAGGGGGCGCCTCCACCCTCCAGCCTAGCCCTGGCCAATGCCCTGCTCAGGGAGGGGTGAGGGAGCATGCACACACGAGGAGGGGTGCCTCCCACCCCCAGGCCTCCCGAGGCAGGAGTCCTGCAGCCCATGGGGCCTTCGTGATCCCTGCCAGCCTGGATGCCCAGGCCCCTCTGGAGCTGGGCTGGTGCCACAGGTGGGGGTGGGGCTCCCCATGGCCAGCAGCTCGCCTCATAGCCTTGCTTTCTATCTGGAAAGTGGAGTGTGAGTCTCGCCACTGGGCTTGGGAGGCTTCTATGGGGCGAGTTGGGGCTTCCGGTGGGCCCGGGTAGATGTGGTGGCCCCGGGAACCCCTAGAGCCTGGGGTCTGAGCCCGTCCTCGGGTGTGTGGTCTGGGCGTTCTGAGCAGTTCTGCAGGGTTGAGGGGTGGCTTTGCCAGCCCACTCCCAATCCCGTCCAGTCCGGGATGGGGCAGGAGTCCCCCAGGGCTGCACAGCCCTTTCCGGGAGCCAGCCAACCACTGGGATGTCCCCACCACCCGCCTGGGCCCCCGAGCTTCGGACCCAGAGCTGGTCAGCATTTTTGGGGGACTGCTTGCCCTGTGCCTGAGCCTGAGGGTGGGGGTCCTTGTGAGGCCTTCTGGGCCGGCAGCCTGGCACCCTCCCTCCCTCCGAGTGCAGCACCTGCCCGTCTCCTCCCGCCTCTTTGTATTTTAATTGATTTTTGTAAGAACAAGCACTCAGGAAATAGAGTAAACGCTCTGGCTGCGGGAGGTGGCCCTGCAGACAGCAGGTGCTCCCCTGGGACCCGCCTGCTCTGCTCCGCCAGCGCCCATGTGGCTGTGAGAAATCACAACCTGGGGCAAAGCAGGAGGGAATCGCGGGTTTCTGCTGCCACGGGTAGCGGGGGACAGCGGGGACATCACAGACCCACTCCAGGGTGGGCACCAGAATCCTGGGACTGCCTACCGGGAAGCCCCGTCCAGAGCGAGGGCAGGGCTGGGTCTCGCTAACGACAGTCCGGAAAGGCTGGAGTGGGTGGGCCCAGCCGCCCTGGCCTGTCAGGTGGGGGGTGTGCAGGCTGTGTCCTGCTCCTGAGATCCCGGCCCCTTGGCCCCAGGCCAGGGTGGTTTTGGGGCACACGGGAGCCCACACCCCTGCAGCCGTGGAGAGTGGGTCTGGGGATGGGGCCAGCCCTGGACGCCCCCGGGGCTGCCGCGGAGTTTAGCGGGACTGGGAGGTTCTGGCTCAGGACGGCGGGTGCCGGGCTCTGCCCTGGGGTCCGGAGCTGGCGTCAGGGCCTCACCCTGTCTCTCTCACCTTGGTGGTGCCCCAGCTGGGAGGCTGTGGCGTGCTAGGCGTTGGCATCTGGCTGGCGGCCACACAGGGGAGCTTCGCCACGCTGTCCTCGTCCTTCCCGTCCCTGTCGGCCGCCAACCTGCTCATCGTCACCGGCACCTTTGTCATGGCCATCGGCTTCGTGGGCTGCCTGGGTGCCATCAAGGAGAACAAGTGCCTCCTGCTCACTGTGAGTGCCGGGGCCTGGGCGACGCTAGGGGGGACACGCAGGGTGGGGCTGGGTGGCCCCCGGGCCTTGGCTGTGGGCCGTGACCCCTAGACGTAGGTGCCCCCTCAGGGGTCTGACCTCCAGGGCGGGAGTGTGGCCTGGGGCCCCAGTCACTGTTGGGTCTTCCAGGCTAGGTCAGGGCTGGGGGGGATTTTCGGAGCGGTCGGGGGGTCCCTCTCTAAAAAGAACACGCTGTGGCTTGTCGGGGCCTCCCTTGACAGGACACTGGCCCCGGTGAGTGCAGGCGCAGCCCCATACATGTGTGCACACGCACGAAGCCCTTCACGGGCGGGTGGGCTCCATGACTCATTCCTCACCACCCCCACCCCGTCGGGGGCCTGGCCCCAGCTCCCTGGGACCTTCTGCTGAGACCCTCCTGGCCCTCACTCTGCCTTGTAGCTGGACTTAAGGCAGGGACACGTTTATCCTTGGAAACGTTAATCACGATAATTAGAAGGCTCCTGCCCACTGACACGCCCGGCCGAGGCCGTGGGGAGGTCTGGGTGCGCGGCCCACTGAGGCCCTAAATCACAAGGCTTCCCTTCGCCCCTTTGTCTGAGAAGTCCTGCATGGGGCGGGGCCTCACTCAGGTGTCAGCCAGCCTGCTCCCCTCTGTGCCCCTTCCTGGGGGAAGCCACTTCCTGGGGCAAGCCCCACGTCTGCCAGCCTCCCCGGGGCCCAGTCAGGTCCCAGAGCTCCCTGGAGGCTGTGGCCAGGGGTCTGTGCCTCGGACAGTCGAGGAAGCTACTGTGTGTAGGCCCTGCCAGGCCTGCAGGGACGTGGGCCCAACCCCCTTTCCCGTGGGTGGCTTGGGACCTGAACCCTAGGTATCTCCTGGGAGTGGGGGGCTCCTGTGTCCTCAGCCCAGCTCACCCTGCCTGCCGCGCCCCCACCCACCCTGCCTGGGCCCCACCCTGTCCATGCCTGCCCTCCTTTTTCAGGATGTCAGCGACCCACACGGAGGAACAGCAGGGCTGGGGTCAGGCTGAGCTTTGGGGCTGCCACCAGGAGGGGGACGGTTGGGTGCTCAGAGGCAGGGTCTGCAGCCCGTGATCTTGTGGAGGGGGCGTCGCCCACCTTGGCTGCCCCGAGGGCTGTGACCTGGGGGCGGAGGGGGCTTCTGCAGTCCCACCATGAAGACACAGGCACCCAGCGGGGCACCTGCTGGACACTCAGAGGCCCCCAGATGGAGGTGTCCTGAAGGCAGCCGACGGGCTGAGGCCTCGGGAACAGGGACTTGTGCCCACTTGCGGGGGATGGGAGGGGAGCCCAGGACAGCCCAGGGCCCCATACTCGGGCTGAGCCAGACGCAACAGCCACAGTCCCTGGACCTGGGCCGAGTTCTCAGGTGGGGTCGGCATGCCGGGGTCTCTGGTTGTGGGGGCCTGGCAGGGGTTTTTTGGCAGCACCGGTGTCCCTGAGGTGTGTGGCCCCGGGCCCTGGCATGCTGGGGGGCCTGCCGGGCCCCCGCCTGAGCCTGCCCCTCCACAGTTTTTCCTGCTGCTCCTGCTGGTGTTCCTGCTGGAGGCCACCATCGCCATCCTCTTCTTCGTCTACACAGACAAGGTACAGCCGCCTCCGCGCAGGCCCAGCTGCGGGGCTGGGGGCTCCACCCTCACCCCCAGGGGCGTGGGCAGAGTGGCCCCCGCATCCGCCCTCGCTGGTGGCCACGGACAGCGGGTGTGGATTTGGCAGTAGCCTCTGGACACCAGGCCTGGAGGGAGAGTGCCAGCAACACTGGGAGGCTGTGCTGTGGCTCTGAGGCGACCCGGGCGTGACGGCACCACTCCCCCACCCCAAGGCCGCTCATGGGACATCCCCTGCCCTCTGCCATCTGCCCGCTCCCCCACCCGAGGCTGCTGGGGGGTCATCCCCTGCCCTCTGAGGAAAGCATCCTGGGCTGTCTGCCCCCAGTGCTCTTGTGGGCCACTAATTTATATACTCGCCGTCTGTTTATACTGAGATGAAGTCACGGAGATTGAGGCTGCACTCTGAGCTAGAACACAACACTACTCTGTTTCGTGAATCACTGCCCGTCTTCGGCCCTGGGGAGCTCCTGCAGTCGGCTGCTGTGTCCCCTGATGCGCCCCCATCAACAGACTTCATTTTGGGGCACATCCTGACTTCCTGGCACTGCAGGGCGCTCCAGGCTCCTCCTGCATTCCCTGCCCCGGTCCCAGAATCCGCCCCTTCCCAACGGAGCCCCGGGCCCTCACTTAACATTGGGGACCAAGGCCAGGGTGCCAGGTGGGCCTGGCGCTCGTAGCTCCTGGCTTTCAGCTCACAGAGCATGGCTGTGTGACACGCGGAGGCACCTGCGTCCCTGCCCCCATCCCCCAGGACCCACGGTCCTCCCCTAGCCTGGGGAGGAAGCTCAGGGGTGGGGGCCCTGGGCCTCAGGGCTTCTGAGGATGTGCGGTTTCTGAGGGTGGCAGGGGCGGGAGCCACTTCAGGGCGAGGTGCGTAAGGGGCCTGGGGCCCAGATTAGGGGCCAGCAAGGGCGTCTGGGTAAGGGGGTGGGGCATAGCGAGTGTTGCCCTGCTGACCCCCCTGCACCCCCAGATTGACAGGTACGCCCAGCGAGACCTGAAGAAAGGCCTGCACCTGTATGGCACGCAGGGCAACGTGGGTCTCACCAACGCCTGGAGCATCATCCAGACTGATGTGAGGCATGGGCAGGTGGGTGGGGTCAGCGGGCGCCCCCCTCCTGCCTAAGCCCGACCCGAGCTTGTCCCCCAGTTCCGTTGCTGTGGCGTCTCCAACTACACCGACTGGTTCGAGGTGTACAATGCCACACGTGTGCCCGACTCGTGCTGCCTGGAGTTCAGTGAGAGCTGCGGGCTGCACGCGCCCGGCACCTGGTGGAAGGCGGTGAGTGGGACCCCCGCCGGGGGTTAGCGGGACCTGGAGGGTGGGGGCTGGCGGCCTGGGACACCCTGGTGACATGCAGGGCACGCCTCTCTGCAGCCCTGCTACGAGACGGTGAAGGTGTGGCTGCAGGAAAACCTGCTGGCTGTGGGTGTCTTCGGGCTGTGCACGGCGCTGGTGCAGGTATGGCCCGGGGGTCCCCCTTTGTTGAGGCCTTCCGAGCGCAGGGAACAGGTAGCAAAGGCCTCGCCCACGATCAGGGAAGGTGGGGTCTGGGGGGACAGGCAGGGCCGGGGCGTGGGGACAGGTAGAGGCGGGTGCAGGGCAGAGGCGGGCGGCCGTCCATGCTGGTGTCCCAAGACTGGCCAGTGCAGAGGCTGGCAGCCGGTGGCCCCTGCTCTCCTAATTCCAGTTGCCGTGAGGTCCCGGGTGTCCTCATGCCCGCAAGGCTCAGGGGTTGGGTGGGGCGTGTGAGCCACAGGAAACTGAGGGGCTCTGCCACTGTGTCCCCCACCCCGGGGACCGCTCTGGGCCTGAGGCAGCCGCCCACACTCCTCCGTCCCCACAGATCCTGGGCCTGACCTTCGCCATGACCATGTACTGCCAGGTGGTCAAGGCAGACACCTACTGCGCATAGGCCGCCCGCCCGACGGATGCCCACGGGGAGATGGCGGCACCACACCTGCCTTTCCCACCACCGGCTCAGTGCTCTGCCCCATGCTGGGAGGGAGGGGAGGGGGACAGATGCCCGGAACCTGTTTCTGGAAGGCCCTGGCTTGGGTGGCTTCAGGGCCTCCGGACCCCCGGGGAGGGAATGTCCACAGACTGGCTGCAGAACCCGGGGCAGGGGTGGGAGGGGCTTCCAGCAGTTTTTGTATCTATCATTCTCCAGAGTGGTGTTCACACGGGAGCCAGCCTTCGGCCCCTGGCCTCCTGGGTCACAGGCTGGGGCTGGAGGGGCCAGGTCTCGGCATCCTGGAGGTGGCCCCGCTGCCCTGGTGCTCTAGGCTGGGCCGCGGGCCCCTCGCCTACATTCCACAGTGGCCGTGGGGCTCCTGGTGCATCTCTTAATAAAGTGTGAGCAGCCCCCCGTGCCTGTTGCTGGTTCACCTCCCCGCACCCCATCTTCCCCTTTGGCACCCAGGCCTGGGCAGAGCAGCCTCTGGCATGAGTGGTGCTTAGGCAGAGCCCTGCGGCTGGGGGCACCCCCCCATGCAGGTTGTGATGGGGGCACCAGCCACAGGGATGACAGTTCAGGTTGGGCATCTGACCCCCAAACTGCACCCCACAATCTCAGTTTCCAGCTCATGCCTGCCCTGCCCTCTCCCCATGCCCCTGGGGACACGCAGCCTGCTCCAGGCATTCCATGCTGTGTGGCACCCACACTGACCCGGCAGTGCCCGACCCCAGGCCCCACCACCTTCCCAGACCTGCATGTCCCCCACCCTCACTCCAACGGAAGCCACAGGACAACCCGAATGTCAGTGTCAGCACTTCTGGGGTACAAAGCCAGTGGCAGCTTTTTGTTCTTTTTAGGCCAGGTTTCGCTCTGTGCCCAGGCTGGAGTGCAGTCCTAACAGCGCACTACGCCTCAGCCTCCTCAAGGGATCCTCCCACCTCCGTCTCCTGAGTAGTGGGGACTACAGGCACACACCACCATGTCCTGATGATTTTTGTATTTTTGGGGGGCAGAGATGGGGTTTCAGCCCAGCATTCCTCCCGCCACTGCTTTCCCCAAGTCCTGGGATTCTAGGTGTGAGCCACGGCGCCCGGCACCCCCTGCAGCTCCTACGTCCGCGGCAGGCGACGAGGCAGGATGGCTGTACACAGGCCTCCCTGACGCCTTTCTCATGTGTGGGTGCCTTGGGTCCCACCCAAGACCCCCTCCTCAGCTCCCACCTGTGGAAGAGACCCCACCCCTGCCTCCTAACGTTATAGACTAAACCAGGACCCTAGTGCCCACCCTGGCCTCACTGTCCCCACCCACAGCATTCTCAGTGAGGGACTCCCAGGCCCGCCCACTCCGACTCACTTCTGTCCCTCTGAGTCCCCGCCCGTGACGTGTATCCCGTGTCCTCTGCCGTCCGCCTCAGCCCGCAGGCCTCGCTGGTGAGGAGGGGGAGGCTTCACGGCCGGCCAAGGACAAGGTGGCAACCGGGGGCAGGGAAACCAGGGCTGTGAGGCCTCGGCTCATGATGCCCCCAAATCCCCCAGGGCCCCCCCGGTCCTGGACACTGCCCAACCCCTCAGTGGAAACGCCTGTCCTGACTTGGCCCTCTCGTGCTCCCTGACATGGCCAGGCTGGCCTGGAGGTTGCACCACCTGAGGCAGCAGAGCTGAGCCAGGGTCCAGGGCCAGTTTCAAGAGGGCGGGCCAGGCCCCTCTGAGCCCATCCTCAGGGCAGCCCCTGCACCCTTGCCATCCTGGGTTCCGTGAGGACGTCTGGGTGGCTCTCTGCAGGTGACACACATATGCTGTGGCAGGTGCATGGGGGTGGGGCTTTCAGCTCTGCCAGTGCCCTGGAGTCCAGGTGTGGGTGGCCCTGGAATCCAGCTGTGGGTTGTCCCACAGCAGCAGCCCGGAGAGGCCTGAGCCCGGCTGTCCTGGTGGGGCAGGTGGAGTGGGTCCTCCCTGCCCAGCCGACAGGAGGCAGCCAGCAGTGCCCAGGTGGGAGGGGCTCAAGCTCTCAAGGTGCCCCCCAGCCAGGGACCACCCCACCACGGGGGGTTGGGAATGACACGGTGCCCGGGGCCCCCCACTGAGGACCTCAGCAGACCCGTCACAGCAAACAGAGTGGAGGCCTGTATTTCACACCCGGTCACTCGCTCCAGGGCTTAGGAAAGAACCCGTCTGCCATGGGTCGCCATGCCCGCCTAGAGCAGGTCGTAGAAGTAGTCCAGGCCCTGGCCCAGCTCCCAGATGGAGACCCCGACGCCCAGCTCCCGCGCCAGCTCCAGCCGCACCTGCAGGGACTGGGCGCAGATGGAAGGGTGAGCGCCTCCCGGGCCCATCCCCCAGCACCCAGGGACGCCGCCACACCGGGGCAGCACTGTATGGACCCCCGTCCCGCAGCCAGCGGCACACACACCTTCAGGGTTGGGTAGAAGACGACGTGCCTCCCGCTGCGGCTCCTGCAAGACAAGGGCACTGTCGCCTGTCCACCGGCTGTGCCGGCCCCAGGCCGCCTCCCCCACGGCCACGGTCCACGTCCTGCCCTCCCCCCGCCAGGTGGCCACGTGCCGTCCTGCTGTGCGGCGGGCCAGGAGTGGCAAGTGGGCTCCCCCGCTTCCACCGCTAAGGCCCCACCCTGCGCACACAGGCCGAGGCAGCCACCCGCATCCCAACACTCACTTCTTGTACTCGAAGAAGTGCTCCGATGCTTGGCTGTCCCACACCATCCGGGGCCTGTGGTCCTTCAGTGTCTGGATGTACCTGGGGAGACCAGGATGTGGGTTTCGGAACTCCGCCCACGGCCCCACGCTGCACCCTCAGAGGCTGTGGCTATCAGCAGGGGCAGGGCCACTGTCCCAGTGGTCTGGGCGACGATGGCTGGTGTAGAGGGGGAGGCTGGAGCCTCAGGTCCTGTGTCTGAGGAATCCTCAGAAAGCACATCTTTCCAGTAGCCGCCTCAGGAGAAGCCACTCCACCGAGTCCTCAATGCCCTGATCTGGAGGGTGACATGGGGGCCTGAAGCTGCCTGACCCTGGCTGTGGCCCTCAGGCTATGCAGTGGCTGCTGGACGGGGACTCCTCACTACCCAGACAGAAGGTGAGAGGTCAACCAGGCAGGCCTCAGGCTGCCCTGGCCCCACTGCAGGCCCTGGGCCGACGGGCAGGGCCTCGTCCTGGGGATGGCTGCCCAGGGCAGTGGTTTCTGCACCATTTCAAAGGCTGCGTCTGCCTCAGTCTCGAAGTCACCCCCCCATGCCCTGGACTGCAGCAGGCCCCTCCTGAGCACCAGGAGCCAGGGGTGTGGGAACCACCCATCCTTCATACAGGACAGCTCATTCCCAAGGTGCCGGGGACAGGACTGCGCTTTCCAAAAGGTCACGGGGGTCTCTGAGTGTGTGCACAACTCACTGCACATCTGGGACCAGGGCAGGTGGTTCAAGAACACTGGGCCACAGCCACCAGCAGCACCAACAGATGGTTCTGGAAGCTTCTGGCCTCTGCAGCAGGAGTCTGTGCAGGTGGCGGTGGCTGACAGTAGAATATGACCCGTGCCTGCTGTGTGAGGACCGTGCCCCCCAAGTGCCTGGGGCTGCAGCCACAGGGAGGAGGCCTGGCCTGGAGCCTACAGCCCAGGTGCCATGGAGGGAGGGGAGGACGGGCAGTGGGCAGCTGCAGGGGCATCCGCAGGACCCTAAGGGAGCAGGGCTGGACAGGGCGGGCTTCATCTAAGTGAGAAATGGTGGCCACGGGACCGCACCTCCACCCACCTTCCCAGCGTGCCTGCGCTCCTGCCCAGGAGGTGTGGGGTGCTCGAGGCTCCCAAAGAGGGAGAGGCTGCTGTTGTCCTGAGCAGGGCAGAGGCCCCCCGGCCCCGGGAGCCTCTTCCAGACCAGGGCATATGTCACTTCAGAGCCGTGAGGGGGAGCAGCTGCCTCCCGCCCAGCAGTGCTTGATAAAGTGCCGGACCCCGTGGGGTGGCCCTGGCCTTTCGGGGCATGGGGTGGATAGGGGCTGCTCGCTCTGCAAACATCAGACCCAGGAGACACAGCAGGGAGGGCGGGACACAGCGCACGGGCAGCCTCCCCAAGCCAGAGCTTCCCCTCGGCACCTGGTTTTGTTGCCTTCATCCAGGCTGGAGCGCAGTGGCACGATCTCGGCTCACTGTAACCTCCACCTCTGCCTCCTGAGTAGCTGGGATTACAGGCACCCACCACCATGCCCAGATGGTTTTGGTATTTTTAGTGGAGACGAGTTTCTCCATGTTAGCCAGGTGGAACTCCTGACCTCAAGTGATCCACCGCTGCAGCCTCCCAGTGCTGGGATTACAGGCGTGAACCACTGTACCCAGCCCCTCTAGACGCTGGCAGTGGCTGGCAGCTCCAGCCATCCCAGGCCTGGAAAAGCTCTGCTGGACCTCTGCCCTCCAGGCCCCTCAGTGTATGTAAACCTGGTCCTTCCAGAAGCTCCTCCAGGCCAGGCAATGTCATGGAGGCAGCTGCAGGCATAGCCGCAACCCTGAGACAGCTCTAAGATCACTGCTTTATCCTTCTCTGAAACGGCACTCGAGGTATTGATTAATTTGCAGCGTCCCCCCCGCCCTACAGTATCTGCTGAGTAGCTCTGTGAGAATGAGACGGGCAGGGTCGTGGGCAGATGCCACAGGACAGGGAACCTCGAGCTGTGGGGAGCTCTGGCCACACCACATACTCCTCCTCCTGGGGGGCCTTTGTGGTTACCCCTCAAAATCTGCTGCCTCCAGGAGGAGCTGAGGCTGGGGGTGGCCAGGATCCCTGAGAGAACTGGGTACCTCCTGCTCAGGCTGATGGTTTGACGTGGGGGTGGTGACCACGCTGTGGGGGCAGCCATGACCAGGGCGCTGACAGGGACCGCAACCCTGGGAATCGCTACCCCCAAGCAGGCACTGGGGATGAGGAGAAGCAGGAGCCAGGTGCTGGGTGGGGCTGTGTGCCCAGCTCCCAAAAGCCCAGAGAGGGTCCGAGACTCACTCCTGGGGAGGGTGAGGCCACCGGGTGTAAGGGCGGGGCAGCTGCAGGCAGGAGTGAGTCCAGGCCAATGGCGCAGGGAGGACCATCCTCAGAGGGGCCGGACCCTTGGGGACCGGAGTGGCTACCCAGGCTGATAACTGGGACCTCCCTTCAGGGCTTATGAGGCCCCAGGAGCACGGCTGGTGTGAGGGGGCTCTCAGGAGGAACAAGGGCCACACGGGTCCTTTGGGGAGCAGCACCGGCCACAGGGAGGGGAGAGCGGGCGAGCGGCCTGCCTGAGAGGCAGAGGAGGGGAGGGTGGGTTCAGGGAGCACCCCGGGAGGGACAGGCACACAGAGAGGGCCACGTGAGGAGTGAGGATGCAAAGCACACGGGCGGCCTCAGCCTCGACCTCACAGAACGTCCAGAACAGACGAACCCACAGACGGTGGGCTGGGGGTGGACACGGGCTAGGGCAGGGAAGGCAACCGCTACTGCAAGGCACAGGGCCGCTTTCGGGGAGCAGTGAGGGCCGCATAGTTCTGTGGGTGCACTGAATGCCGCTCCGAAATGGTCTGCGAATTTCATCCTTGTAACTCACAAAGACTCACGTGGAAAGGGTCACGGAAATCCCAACAGGACCTACACACAAAACCCACCCAGACACGCCACAGAGGAGTCAGGGGGACCAGGGACGGAGAGGACGTTCTACGTGTGTCTATGGAGGAGGCAGAGCGAGCACGAGAAAGACATTCTTTTTTTTTTTTTTTTTTTTTGAGACGGAGTTTCGCTCTTGTTACCCAGGCTGGAGTGCAATGGCGCGGTCTCGGCTCACCGCAACCTCCGCCTCCTGGGTTCAGGCAATTCTCCTGCCTCAGCCTCCTGAGTAGCTGGGATTACAGGCACGCGCCACCATGCCCAGCTGATTTTTTGTATTTTTAGTAGAGACGGGGTTTCACCATGTTGACCGGGATGGTCTCTATCTCTCGACCTCGTGATCCACCTGCCTCGGCCTCCCAAAGTGCTGGGATTACAGGCTGAGCCACCGCGCCCGGCCGAGAAAGACATTCTTGAACCTCCTGATGGGGGGAGGTCACCCCACGGACACCAGCTTGGAAACTTGTCTTGGAGAAGGGTCTCCAGAAAACCGGGGACGTGCTCCAAAGCCTGGGGAGGCTGCCGACGTCTAAAAAGGAAGGATGAAGAACAAAGATGCCCGAGGGGGCTGGGCGAGGTGGCTCATGCCTGTAATCCCAGCACTTTGGGAGGCCAAGGTGGGTGGATCACTTGAGGTCAGGAGTTTGAGACCAGCCTGGCCAATGTGGTGAAACCCCATCTCTACTAAAAATACAAAAATTAGCTGAACATGGTGGCAGGTGCCTGTAATCCCAGCTACTGGGGAGGCTGAGGCTGGAGAGTCATTTGAACCCAGGGGGCTGAGATTGTACCATTGCACTCCAGCCTAGATGACAGAGTGAGACTCCATCTCAAAAAAAAGATGCCCGACGGAGAGAGGGAGAGATGGAGGAAGCAGCAGCGGGCAGAGGAGGAACTCCCAATACCTCACCTCCGCTCTGTGGCCCTGGCTGGAGCAGGGGTGCCAACCCCGCAGGGCAGCCACGTCTGAGCAATTCCTCCACCCTGCTAAGCAGAGGGACCACGGAGGACCGCCCCACACGGACACACTGCTGCTGTCACGCCAGCCCAAGAGCCCAGGTTTGGGACTCTCAGGAGGGCAGTGGGCCATGGACCTCCATTGCCCTGAGCAGCCCCTGGGCCCAACCCTACAGCCTTGGCCCAGTGGCTGGCAGGAGCCCTGGTCATCCACCAAGAAGGGCGTCCCTCTCTTGGCCCCCGGGTGGAAGGCAGCTCATGGGAGACCTGGAGGAGGCTGGCGTCAGAGGCCAGTGGGGGCCTCTCTCCTTGGGTCTGCCCAGGCAGCCTCCTGAGATGCAGGACGGACAGGAGCATCTGACCAGACGTTCTGTGACACCTTGACTGCATGTGCAGAGCCAGCCTGGGCTGAGCAAGGAAGAAGCCTGGGGAGGTGGCGCCAGGATCTCAGCAGGGAAAGATCTGGGAACGCAGCCAGCGGGGACGGGGAGAAAGGATGGGACAGGGCGGGAGCTATGTGCCTGTGTCACAGCTGGGCCGCCTTACCCAAGGATGCAGTTACCAGATGTGGTGATGGAGCCTCTAGGCCCTTCCCGGCCGACACCCACAGCCCAAGATAGGTGGCTGCCTCTCCCCAGACTCAATTTTTTTTTTTTTGAGATAGGGTCACTGGGCGCAGTGACTAGAAATACAAAAAACTAGTCAGGCATGGTGGCATACACCTGTAGTCCCAGCTACTTGGGTGGCTGAAGCAGGAGAATTGCTTGAACCTGTGAGAGGCTGAAGTGAGCTGAGATCCAGCCACTGCACTCCAGCCTGGGCGACAAGAGTGAAACACCATCTCAAAAAGAGAGACAGGGTCCTGTTCTGCCACCCAGGCTGGAGTGCGACGCTGTCCAGGGCTCACTGTAACCTAGACCTCCCAGGCTCCAGCGATCCTCCCACCTCAGCCTCCTGCATAGCCGGGACTGCAGGTATGCAACACCACACTAACTTTTAACATTTTTTAAGAGACCGGGGTCTTGCTATGTGGCCCAAGCTGGTTTCAAACTCCTGGCCTCGAATGATCCTCCCATCTCGGCCTCCCAAACTGTTAGGATTACAGGTTGAATCACTACACATAGCACCCCTTAGACTTGACCAACCAGCGACTGGGCTGTACTGGCTCCAAGGGTACAGCTGTTCGACAATCACGGAATGCTGTGAGCCACCCTGAGCCGCCCTGAGGAAGTGACTGCGTGTCCCGGATGCAGCAGGCAGAAGACACGGCCTGGTAGGGCACAGCTTCCTGCAGGGAAAAGAGCACGAGGCCAGTGTGTCGAGAGAAGAGACTCCTCAGACCCCCCAGGAGCTCCCCCAGGGCTCTGAAGCCAGCTGCTTCCGGCTGGTGGGAGGAGGGGCTTGCCTGTGCTGCGCAGGGCCAGGGCGCCACCTCGTCTCTGACCTCCGGCCCCGGGACTGAGAAGCAGCTGTTCTGCAGGCGGCCCTGTCGGTGGCTTTGTTAACAGCTGCCCTTGAAGACCAGCACGGGTGAGACTCAAGGCCAACACTGTGTCCCTTTCAAAGCCAACCAGAAGTGAGGCTTTCCTGAAGGCCTGGGTAAGCAGAGCCCACGGCTGGAGCGGAGTCAGGGCTGAGTACGTCAGGAGGCCTCTTGCTTTGCACAGGGGACCCTGGCTGGGAGCCTAAGCTTTACATGGCTCCACCCAGAAGGCCCCAGAACCACGCCTTGTCAGGGATGGGGGAAGGCGTGGAGATGAGCGGTGCTTCCAGAGCCTTCTTGGGAGTCCCAGTGTCACAGGAGGGCCGTGCTGGGGGATGATACAGAACACGCAGGAGCACAGAGCAGCCCTGACGGAAACGACAGACAGACGAGGGCAGACGGCGGCAGGGACGTGAACTGATGCCAGTGACTGACCCGTGCCCCATCTCAGCAGCAGCAGGGGACCCAAATGAGCCAGGGCCCTGGGACAGCGCCCTTGCCTGTGCACAGCCCCGAGTGTCTCTGGAGGGGCTGACTTCTCGCTGACCCATGGGTGAGATATGGGAGAGAAGATGCCAGGCTCCTGCTGCCCAGGCCGGACCCAGGCCCTCCTCAGCCAGCAGCCCCTTGTGTCCGTCCCCACAGCAACGTCGGGCCCTGCTCAGTGACCCAGAGCAAACCCAGGGCCAGGAGCCAGAGGACAGCAGGAGCCCAGGCCTGTGCTGGACCCCAGAACCAGCAGCGTGGACAGAGAGTAGCGTGTCGGGGGAAAGTCTCCCTACAGGACCACCATACACGACCCTGGTCGTACAACCTGGCCCACCTGACAACCGCTGTGGAGGGGCTCAGGGAGGGCAGCCTTGGAGGCCAGGCAGGGAACGCTGGCCAGACACACTCCCCTACCGGCCGCCGCCACCCTCAGAACCCGACCATCTAGCAGTCACCTCCGCCCCGTCCACGGCCAACCAGGAGGAAGCGGGGCGGACGGCCTGGCCCCTGCTCACCTGCCTGGGCTGGCGCACGCACACACCCCTCACGGAGGGCAGGCCTGTGGGGGACCTGCACAGACTCATAAAGATGCCAGCTGGGGCCTCCACAGAAACGACAAGGTTCTCCCGAAAAACGAGCCCCTAACACTGTTTCTAAGAGACTCAGCTGCACCCAGAACAAAGATTAGTATGATTTATAAAAATGCCAAAACACCCAGCACCCAACACAGTAAAATCTGCAGCGTCTGAGGCATCAGCCCAAGAGGACCAGGCCCACAGAAAGGCGGCACGATGGGACCCGGACTGAGGAGGAAAACCAGCCCACGGAAACCCACCCTGACGTCGGCAGACAAGGGCACCGAGCAGTTATTCCAACAGATTCCCAACGTGCAAAAGTTTAGTGGAGACACGAACACGTAAGGTGACCCCAGACAAGCCTCCAGACGTGAGAATTACATGCTGGCCAGGCTGGGTGGCTCATACCTGTCACTGCAGCACTTTGAAAGGCCGAGGTAGGAGGATCACTTGAGCCTAGGAGTTCGAGACCAGCCTGGGCAACACGGTGAAACTGCATCTCAAAAAATAAAATATAGGCTGGGGCATGGTGGCTCACGCCTGTAATCCCAGCACGTTGGGAGGCTGAGGCAGGTGGATCACAAGGTCAGGAGATCAACACCATCCTGGCTAACACTGTGAAACCCTGCATCTACTAAAAATGCAAAAAATTAGCCGGGTGTGGTAGCATACGCCTGTGGTCCCAGCTACTAGGGAGGCTGAGGTAGAATTGCTTGGACTCGGGAAGTGGAGGTCACAGTGAGTGGCGATTGTGCCACTGCACTCCAGCCTGGGCGACAGAGTGAGACTTCGTCTCAAAAAAATAAAAACATAATAAAAATAAGAAAGTTGAATCACAACACGTGAGGTGACAAAAGCGCCGGACGGGATTGACAGCAGGTTAGGAGCAGCAAGAGAAATGACCAGGCCAGGCTTGGGGCTCACACCTGTCATCCCAGCACTTTGGGAGGCTGAGGCAGGAGAATCACTTGAGCCCAGAAATTAGAGACCAGCCTGCACAACATGGCAAAACCCGGTCTCTACAAAAAAATACAGAAATCAGGGGAGCGCGGTGGTGCGCGCCTGCGGTTCCAGCTGTTGGGAGGCCAAGGCTGCACGAGACCCTGTCTCAGAAAAACAAAACAGAGAAAAAAAGATCCCAAAAAGCAGAAGGTGTATTCCCGAGCTGTGGGACACATTCAGGGACTCCAGTGTCTGCAGTCTCCAAGGAAAGGGGAGGAGGGAAGAAACAACAAATATTTCAAGAATCTGCCCCAAATTCTCCAAATTTGCTGAGTGTAAAGGCACAGATTCCAGAGGCTCCATGAACACTGAGCAAAAGGAAAATGAAAACATGTCAATCCTAAAAGCAGGGAGGAGGGCGGCCACAGACTTCGAGTGCCGACGAGAAAGCCGAGGCCAGATCCCCACAGCCGGGAGGAACGGCCTCCAGAAACGAGGTAAGTTAACGCCGTCAAGAAACCGCGCTGGCAGAGTGCACGAAGAACGCACAAGGCGGGAAGTCAGCCCTGCGTTCAATGCAGGAGGCCCCGCCCCGGCCCGGGTGCTGCGGGGCAAGGCTGGCAGGGGGAAGCCTCCGTTGCAGCCTCATGCAGATGTGGGGACAGCTAACGCGGCGGTGCTGCGAATGGCGACCAGGTGGGGTGGGCACCAAGCATGGCTCCTGGCCCAGCCCAATCTCTGACTCTGTGGTACACAAGCTCCAGAGGACTGGGACCCTCCCCATCCTCCAACACCCACCCACACCAGGTGATACTTTCAGCACGGCAGGAAGAGCCCTTGGCTCACCTGGCACCAACAATGGGCTCCCGGGAATCCTTGGAGGTTGCATAGTCCATACCGTAGAAGTTGAGTCCCAGGAGGATTTTGCTTCGCCACTTGGACTTGGGGTCCAGGACCCGGACGCAGGCTCGAACCCAGGACAGGGGTGCGTTAGGGCCAGGCCTGCAGGGCAAGGGGTGAGTGAGTTTCAGCAACAGGGAGGGTCACGCTCCTGAGCCATCGCTGGGGCCTTCCAGCGAGGGATGCCTTCTCCCCAGGCTGCAGCTGCCTCTCCGAAGTTGGGAAGAACAGAAACGATCCATGTTAACGGGCTGTCAGCAAAGCGGGCCCCATGAAGCACCCACATCCAGGGCTAGGCACTCATGTGCCGCTCCCCACCCCAGAGCCACAGGCAGGAGTCTGCATGACATGGGTGGGAAGGGGGTCAGCAGACACGAGGCCTCCCAGGCATCCTTGCTGTAGTGTCCCTGCCTGTGCCTCTGTCACACGGCCCTCCCAGAGCAGTGTGGCTCAGACCAAGGAGGACAGCACAGCATCAGGACTGTGCCTGTGCCCATGCCCACCCCCATGACCCAGCTCCACCCCAGGCAGGGCCCCACCCATGTAACTACCACAGGGCACAGAGCGGGCACAGTGCCACCGGCTTCCCCCTTATGCACAGAGCCACAGACTGTAGCTGTGCCTGCTGCACCCAGGGCCCCCCCAGGTCCACACTCACTGCTGTGCCCAGGAGCCCCCAAGCCCACACTCACTGGTGCGCCGTGGAGTAGTCGTAGGTCATGAGGCTGAAACCATCCAGCACAGGGGCCAGTTGCTCAAACTCCTTGTGCGTGAACATGCCCAGCTGGTCGGTCCTGCAAGACAGGTACAGCCACCTCAGGCTACTCTGTGCCGTCTGAAGCCCCTGCCCAGCTAGGGTGATGGCAAGCTGGCTGTGTGGGCCCTTTTTCCGTAGGGTGGGGGCAGCCTGCAACTGGGTCAGGGCCACAGAGGCTGGGGCCTGGGGAAGACAGGATGATGTGGTCACGTGGGCCCAGAGGCCTCTCTGAGACCAAGTTACAGCCGAAAACAGGGCTGACAGCGGGAAGACCGGGCCAGCGCTACACATGGAGGGGCAAGGTGAGTGGAGAGCAGCCAAGAGGATGGGCCACTGCAGAGAGCGGGGGCCGCTGAGATGGAGCTGACAGATCCAGGCTCCCAGGAGCGTCCCCATCCAGGGTCTGCACCAAAGCCTCTCTGAAAGCAGAGCCAGCTCCTGGGATGCCAGCCCTCAAGAACACTCAGCATCGGCCTGACCCCGCCAGGCTGTCCAAAGCCCTCTCTGGACCTCAGCGGGGAGACGGGAAGGGCAAACACTTGGCTCCCGGGACAGAGCAGGGCTGTGTGGTACAATCCCCAGCACAGAGGAGTGGGCACCAGGGCAGGTGGTTTGTGGCAGGCACTGAGGAGGACGTGGCCCCAGGCCATCTCAGGACGGCAGCCCTTCCCTTGGGGACTCGCCTTCCTGACCTAGATCCACTGGGGACCAGTGTCTCCTGGGCAGCCCTCCCGCCTGGCCCAGGGACAGCTGAGTGCTCGCCGACGGCCGCTCCACACCAGGTCTGTGAGCAGAGGGGAGACGGGAGGGGCACACAAAGGTCAACGCTGAGGGCTGAGGGCCTTCATGGGAGCAGGACACAGGGCGGGGTGCGGCCGGAGGAGTGGCACTCACAGAAGCGAGGTGGGTCCCTGTTAGGCAGTGACCCCTCCTCTGCTCAAGGTCACTGGTCTCCCAAATATGGGCCACGCCAGGGGCCTCGGTGCTGGGGGAGCAGTGCTGGAGCCTCTCTCAGGGACATGAGGGCCAAAGATGCCCCTGCAGATCCCCCGTGGCAGGCCTGAGGAGCCCCTCTCCAGATGTGCAGCTTTATCCCAGCCCCGGCCTTGAGTCTGCCAGCTCCAAGGTCCGGGCCTCCCTCCTCTGCTGGGCACCATGAGACCCAGGCCCCAGAGTCTGCAGGGATGTGGGGCATCATCCATGGTCCCCTCAGCCCCGATCTCTCTTCCTGGAGCCCTGCCTGCCGAGCCTCACTGCTCAGGCACGGTCAGCCTCCCTGGAACCCCGACAAACACCCCCCAGCGCTATGCCCATCACCTCCCGGTGGCCTCCCTCAGTGCCTGGGCCCCTCCCTACAACCAGGAGCCCCTAAGCCTGCAGCCCCAAATCCAGGTGTCCACAGGACCCTTGCCACCCTGCAGCCTCCCGCTGGGCCGAGGCCTCCACCCACGTCCTCTCACCCACACCCAAGGTCATTTCTTTTTTCTTATTTTGAGATGGGGTCTGTGTCACCCAGGCTGGAGTGCAGCAGCACACTCCTGTCTCACTGCAACCTTGAACTTCTGGGCTCAAGCAATCTTCTTGCCTTTTTAATTGATTGAAGAAAGGAAAAATGGCTGGGTGTGATGGCTCATGCCTGTAATCCCAGCATTTTGGGAAGCCGAGGAGGGTAGATCTCTTGAGCCCAGGAGTTGGGAGACCAGCCTGGGCAACACAGTAAGACTCTGTCTCCACAAAAAAAGTAAAAAATTAGCCAGGTATGGTGGTGTATGCCTGCAGTCCCAGCTACCAGGGGGTTGAGGTGGGAGGATGGCTTGAGCCCAGGAGGTGGAGGCAGCAGTGAGCCGTGATGGTGCCACTGCACTGCACTCCAGCCTGGGTGACAGAGCGAGACCATCAGTCAGCCTTGCTGGGGACAGGATGCCATGTCCCCACAAACAGTTATGTTGAAGTCCTAACCACCGACCGGATGGTTTCTGGAGATGGGGTCTCGAGGAGGTGACTAGGGTTAGACAAGGCAGTGATGATGGGACCCACGGTGGAGTTAGAGTCCTTACGAGAAGAGACACCACAGCTCTCTGCCACGTGAGGACGCAGCAAAAAGGAGGCCTGGCTGGAGGGCCAGCTCTCTGTCAGTCCCCACACAGAAACCCTGGCTCACAGCCCCACAGCACTTGGGGGCCTGTGGACTGATGCCAGGCTGTGCTGCGTGGGTCCATCCCAGCCTGGCCGCTCCTGGGCTGCGATCTTCTCTTGCCCAGGCTGGAGTGCAGTGGCATGACCTTGGCTCACTACAGCCTCAAAACCTTCTGAGCTCAAGTGATCCTCCTGCCTCAGCCTCCCGAGTAGCTGGGACTACAGGCACACGCCACCATACCTGGCCGAGACTGACCGGCATGACTCCCTGGTCCTTCAGCTCCTCCTCCGCCAATCTCATGGCAGCCCGCTCAGCACAGTTTCTACTTTGCAGGGGCCTGTCCCACAGACCAACCACCCCTGCCTCTGTGCCTACAATGCCCTCCCAGGCACCATCCCACTTCACACGCTATCAGACACGCAGCCTCCTGCCGTGAGCTGGACTCTGGAGCCTCCCCCACATCCATGGAGCTGCCACGCCCCCACCACCTCATAGCCTTGGCCACAACAGGCATTCCTGGTAGAGCTGGCTTCCCCCACAAGGCTTTGGTAGATGACACCATGTGTCTAGGACCTGAATCCCCCCAGCTACTGAATGTGACACAGAAACCACCCACAAATGCCCCCCAGGGCTCCACCAGAAATGCATCTCCATGACATTCCCAAGCAGGAAGGGACAGTTCTACCAGGATGTGGCTCCACACTGACCCCCAGTGCACCCGACATGTGACATGCATGTGGCACGATCCACATTTCCCTTCAGGGCTCACACAGCTGCCCACAGACCCCACAACTCTGCTACAGCTGGGACCAACCATGGCCACAGGCTGGGAGCGGCCCTCACACTGTCAAGGTGGTAACACAACAGCAAGGACGAGGCAGGCCCCGTCGAGGTGGGAGCAGCTCATGGTGGTCCTCAGCGGGAGAGAGGGGAGGACACCAGGCCTGGGCCCATGGTCCAGCCACCCCCGACCTGGCACTGGCCCTGGGGACCACCTGGGACGGTGGACCTCCTCCTACCCGTGAGGAAGACAGGCTGCGCAGGGGCCGCTGCCAGGACCGCCCCTCCCCAGCCTGTGTCCCTACCCATACCCGCGACAGCCCACAGCGGAGCCATTTGTCTCTGTGCCCCGTGGCACCCGGACAAGAGGGGATTGCCATGGCTGAGTGATGAAGTAACAGCTTGCCACAGATTAGACACAGTGTGACTTCTGACGAACAGGAATTACTGCTCACACTGAAAATACCATGTTCTGAAATCGTTTCTGAGGAACGAAAGCCCAGGGAGGAAGCGAGGGAGGAAAACACGCTCATTGCAGCCAGCTGCCTGCCTCCCGCCTCCGGCCTCCCATGTCCTGGGCGGGCCCCATGCCGGCAGTGGCAAGGAGGGCGAATGCCCACTCAGCCTCGACCGGACCCGGGCCCATACCAACACCAGTGCCCTTCCAGATGGCTGGACGCCCGGGCTGCCCCCGCACCAGCTTCGTGCTGAGACAGGCTGCTGTGCACCCCGGCACCCTGGCACCGTCCAGCGGGCTGCTTCATGCTCTCCTCTCCAAGTCACCCCTCCTTTCCCTCTTTCCAGAAAGAGGGAACAAGCAATCCCAGGCCGGGGCCTGACCAGGTCTCTCCAGCCATGTGGACCCCATGGCTGCCAGAACAGGGGTGGCTGCAGCCTCCGGAACACTGTCCTCCCAGACGCTGAGGGGAGACAGTGAGGCGAGTGGGCCACAGCCTCCTGCCACGTACCCACTGTCCCTCCAGCACAGCACGACTCCCATCTTCTACCTGCCACCCACCTCGGTCCCGATACTGGCCCCACATGGCAGATGCCCTCTCTTCCCTCGGCCGACCACCTGCAGCTCCGGGTAGTATCTGCACAGGTACAGTCGACGCAAAAGGGGTGTTGGCTCCACGTCAACGTGGCCTCAGCCTGTGGTCACCACTCTCTGCCAGCCATTCCACCTGGCCCTGCTGCTGCCACCTGCAGAGCCAGGCCCCACAGCAGCCCCAAGGGAATACCATTCCCCATTCCTAACAGAAACAGTGGCATCACTGACTGGCCTCCCAGCAGCCCCGAGGAAATACCAGTCTCAACCCTACCAGATGCTGGCATCACTGTCCACGCAACGTCCCATGCTCAGGGCGTCTGTCCCCAGCAGCCAGTGCCCACACCTGCTCCTCCCCCCACAGACTGTCCCAAGGGGTCTTAACAGCTCCCCTCCCACTATGCCCACCTGTCAGGGATTTCTCAACCTGCTTCCCATAGCCTTGAGTCGCCTGTCTTCTGTGCCAGCCAGTCCAGTCCCGGGGGCTCCCTCCTCACCCCGTCATGATGGCTGCTCTGTCCATCAGCCTGCAGGACTAGCCCTCTCCCTGAATGGCTGGCCAGCACCCTTTGGGGCCTGATTTCAGGCTGGACTTCTGTCTATCCACACTGCACAGGGTGCTACAGCCCCCCCCGCCCCCAGAGGCCTCAACACACAATGCCGGCACACGGCAGCCCCAGCCCCTGAGGCTGCAGGCAAGGGGCAGGTGGACAGAAGCTGGGGCCTCTGTGCAAATGTGCTGGGGGTCCAGTGAGGGCCTTTCTCTGACTGCCGAGTCGGGCACCATGTACAGTGACGGCCTGCCCTAAACCATGGGGGCTGGAAATGGCCAGAGATGTGGCCCCACCCCACTCAGAGTGGACCACTGCCTACAAAGCCACCAACGGCACCAGCAGGGCCAGGAAGGAAACCAGCCCTTACTGGGTTCCTGAGATCAGCTCCCTGCACCCAAGGGGATCCCAGTAGCTAAGGGTGCCCAGAAAACATGAGGCCAACAGGAGGTAGACCCAGGGGTTCCGCTCCCCACGCAAGGACGCACCACCACATGGACACCTGGGGATAGCTTGCTGGTCCCACTGGCCTGCGGGGTTTACGCTATGGCTCTGCCTATGGGTCTCCTCCGTTGCTCAGACTGTGACCGTGGGAGCAGGGCTGGACGTCAGCACGGCACCCAGTTCCAGGACCAGACCCCCTGGGGTCTATGACAGCTGAGTTAGGGCTGCCTCTGTCTAGTGACAAAGGACACGATGAATTTGCCTTTGGCGACGGGGCCGCCCCTCCTTGCTGCTCGCAGACCTCCCTCCCAGAACCACTGTTCCCCAGACTGCGGCCCTGGAAAGGGAGAGGCTGCGTGTCGGCAGCAAGGCTCTTGTGAGGTGAGTGACAAGCACGATTACATTCTGCAGAAAAAGCATCGGGAGAGGCATTTATGAGGCTCCTCTGCAGCAGGCGGCTCTTCCCTCAGGGTGGGGTAGGGGGAGGATAAACAGATGATAAAACAGTCCTCCTGACCTCTGCAGGGAAGCCAGCTCTCCACCCAGCTGGGTCCCACTTCCCTCGGGATCTCCACCGCAGGCCTCGGCCCCGCCCCCGCCCCCAGTGTGGTCAGAGCGGACCCCAGCCCCAGCACTGCATCCCACCCTACAGTCGCCACCCCAACCAGCGCCCTGCAGAGGGAGCTGGGAGCTGCGAGCTTCGGTTGCTATGGGGTGAGGGGCGGGGGCCTGGCCCAGCTCTGACTGCCTACTTCCTGCCTAGGGCCAGAAGCTCCAGCAGAAGGCAGGCCCCATGGCCATCTGCCCCAGCCTCAGAAACTACCCTGGGCTCCTGAGCTGGTCCCCACCAACAGCTGCTCCTGTAGCTCCCCTAAGCACAGAGGGCAACCCAGGAGCCGCCAGGCCCAAAGGCTCTGGATAAGGAGGAGCTGCCACCCTGAGGAACTTCTCCCAGCCCCAGGCCTGCAAAGTCCTCCCAACCACTCCCTGCCTGCCCCCTTCAAACCCTGGAAACACAGATCGGACGTAAGTGTCAGATATAAGAGTCTCACATCAGAAAAGGCTGGGTACGGTGGCTTGGGAGGATCACTTAAGACCAGGAGTTCAAGACCAGCTTGGCCAACATGGCAAAACCTTATTTCTACAAAAACATACAAAACTTAGCTAGGTATGGTGGGACACACCTGTGGTCCCACCTACTCAGGAGGCTGAGGTGGGAGGATCACTTGAGCCTGGGAGGCGGAGGTTACAGTGAGCCGAGATCATGCCACTACACTCCAGCCTGGGTGACAGATTTGGACCCTGTCTCAAAAAAAAAATTTAAAAAAAGGAAAAGAAAAAAAAAAGGCCAGGCATGGTGGCTCATTCCTGTAACTCCAGCACTTTAGGAGGCAGAAGCTTGTGGATCACCTAAGGTCAGGAGTTTGAAAACAGACTGAGCAACATGGTAAAACCCCATCTCTACTAAAATTACACAAATTAGGTGGATGTGGTAGCATGTGCCTGTGGTCCCAGTTACTTGGGACGCGGAGGTGGGAGGATCACTTGAGCCTGGGAGTTGGAGGTTGCAGTGAGATGAAATTGCACCACTGCACTCCAGCCTGGGCAACACAGCGAGACTCCATCTTAAAAAAAAAGAAAAGGAAAAAAGATGTAGAGTAGGGGATGACGCAGGCCCTGATCCCGGAACACAGGTGAGACCCCAGCGCTGAACCTGGGCCTGTTCTTGCTGGGGAGGGTGACGCTGCTGGGCTGTGGAAGCAGAAACACTGAGGCAGAGCCAGGCCGTCCCCCCAGCACCACCCACAGGTCAGCGCAGCGGACACGTAAGGGAGGTGGAGGGCCAGGCCACAGAGCAGTGGCCGCAGATGGGAGCGGCTCCCCAGGGCTTGGTCACAGGCAGAGCGAGTCCCGTCTGCACAGTGCTGGGTACGTGTGAAGGCTGAGGACAGGCACAAAGCAGCCCGGAGGCTCAGCCCTCAGCACCACTTCCGCTTTCCACTCTCCAGGGCCTTCCATCGAGGGGACGGTCAGAGCCCACCAGGAACGAGGAGCTGTATGATGCTGGCAGCCAGAAGGGTCTGAGCACAGCCGGCCCTGCTTCAGGGGAGGAAGCTGCCCACGATGGTGGGGCCGGCGGCAGGGGCCTGAAACCTGGCCTGCAGGACACACTGCCGTCTGCCCCGGCACAGCCTGGCCCAGCTGCAGCCCACACTCATCAGCACGGAGCCCTGGAAAGCTTGGAGAGAAAAGGCGGTCGACCGTGCAAAGGGCCCTCAGCTGCCTCCAGGCTGTGAAGGAGGCCAGCAAGCTGCCTTTCAGCCCGGCAGGTGGCCAGGGCTGTGCTACCCTGAGGGTGTGGCCGGCCTCTGCTGGGACAGGCATCTGCAGGGTGGCAGGCACCGCTGAGTGTGGGTAACCCCCCATATAGGCACCGAGGAATGAGAGCTAAACAGAACCCTTGCACAGTTAGGGCTTGAGGATTATCTCACTTTATAGTGTCACGGCCTCAGCCGCAACTGCTGGTGTGGCCATACACAACTGCATTCAAACAGCTCCCTTTGTTGAACATTGGCAAAAGAATTCCACTGCTCTCTGCAAGTCCCAGTCTCAGATTGATCAACAACTAGCAAATCAAATTACTGACCTTCGCCAAAGTGTCATTTGGCTGGGTGACAGGGTTTTAAATCCTGAGCATCGTGCTCAGTTACAATGTGACTGGAACACCTCTGATTTCTGTATCACTCCTTTCGATGATAATTCTACACTTCACCCCTGGGACACTATACGACGCCATCTGTTATCCTGGGATGATAACCTCACCTTGGACATTCACCGCCTGAAGCAACCCATTTTTGAGGCCTCTCAGGCACATCTAACTACAGTCCCAGGTTCAGAAACCTTTGAAGGAGTGGCACAAGGCCTCTCTGACCTCAGTCCAATCAAGTGGTTTAGAAAATGGTCTGTTCCTTTAGGTGGTTTCTCCTTGTTTGTCAACTTTGTGATTGTTGCTTGCATTTGTACCTTCTTAATTACATGCTTCTGTATTCAGAAACTTCATAAACATAACAGGCAACAACTTCAGGCCATGGCGGCCATAACCACACTTGTAAAACAAAAGAAAGGGGGAAATGTGGGTAACCCCCCACATAGGCACCGAGGAATGAGAGCTAAGCAGAGCCCTGGCACAGTTAGGGCTTGAGGAATATCTCACTTTATGGTGTTACTACTCAGCTATTTCCTTCTATATATCCTTTACATAATCATGTATTAGTTTACAGAATTAGGGCTTGAAGAATCCCTTCATCTAATCCTCTCTATATAATCATATGATAGTTGATAGTATGAGCGCCTAAAGAATATCTCCCTACATATATACCTCTAATTATATCTTAGTTCATGATTGGAGGAATGTCTAGAGTGGACACAGTACAGAGCATGAATTAAGGAATAAGCAGCTTATAATCGGAGGAATGCCCAGAGCAGACACAGTGCAGAGCATGGTTTAAGGGAAGACAGTTATACCAGGATAAGAATCCACGGCCCAGGCGGCAGCGTTCAGTGTCGTAAAGATACCCGCTGTGTGGCAGGCTTGGGGCGAGAGCCGCTCCTCCTGATAAAGGAGCTGTAGGACCCTGCTCCAGTTCTTGTGGAAGGCTGCCCTCAGACCGGCAGTCCACCCTGGGGACTGTGAACCTCATCAGCTCTTGCTACTGTGCTGCTCGAAAAGCATCTTCCCATAGAACCCACTGGAAGCTGCCAGAAGGTGGCGGTAACCTGACAGCTCTGTCACTGCCATGTGACTTAAAGCATCCTCCCATAAATCTTCTTAGTAGTTTCCCATAGACAGAAGTATCGCACACGGCACCCTCTTCACTGTGCACGGCCCACCTCCTGGCCTAGGTGACCTAATGGGGGTGGACCCTATGCTTTATTGCTCACGACCCCATCACTATCCTTAAAGATGACTTCACTCACTGCCCTGCCCCCTAACCTATACACAATAAATACCCACGCTTCTGGACGTTCGGGGGCTCGAGAGCCTGGCCTCGCCAGCCGCTCACCAGTCTTGCCTCGCCAGGCGCCTAGCCGGCCAGCCTCGCCTGACTCCGCTCATGGGTGGCGTGGCCCCTCGGGCCCAGCTGCGTTTTCTTTGTACTTCTGTGTCCTGTCTCTTTATTTCTTAGATCCTGCGCCTCAGCACAGCATAAGGTTCACCCCACGACCCTGTGGGGCCCTCCGCCCTACAGGTGAGCACATACTGGCTCTTCCGTGAGTCCCTTTAGCCATCCCCAGGTTTAGGGGCGCATCCAAGCACACATGGCGCGGGGCCCGCAGTCACCTCTGCCTCTGGAGGAAGAGAAGGCGGCAGAGGTGAGGAGGGCTGGCCGCTTCCTTCCGGAGAGGCAGGCCGGGAAGCCCAGTGTCTGCCTGGGGGGCTGCTCCTCAGCAGCTGGTGGATCCTGGGCAGAGCCCCCTGGGGTGTCCCCAGCCAAGCTAGCCCCCAACTCAGCCTGCTTGTATCCACTAGGCCCCCAGCTCTGCCCCTGGAACACCCATGCTGACTTGGAACCTTCTCTGTGCCTGGCACAGGGGAGACGCTCCTGGCTCAACCTCACACAACTGGGCAGGGCCTCACCCCAGTGGGTGGCCCCTGGACCGTGGCAGCTGTGGCTGTCCCTGCCTCAGCCTAATCTCCCTCGGATGCAGGGGGGTACACTTGGCTTCAATGACCAAACATCTCAGAGCTCCAGGGTCCCTCTGGGAGTTTGTTTCCACTCAAGGGCCTTTTAGCAGTCTTGATATGTCCAGGGCGGAGGGCATCTCCAACCACTGACAGGCAGGAAGGCACGAGGCCGGCTGCGAAGAGCCTGTCCCCTCTGCGGCACCCCCGTGTGTGCGGCAGCTGAAGTCTGTATGCAGATGGGTTTGGGTGTGAGCAGGAGCCGCTGGGCCCCTGGCTGACATCCTGCACGGGCTACCCCCAACCCCAGAGCCCTCCACAGCCACCTCGACACCTCAAGAGCGGCACTTACCCGGGGGTGATGGCGGGCGGAATGACCAGAATGGCCAGCAGCCGGGCCTGGTGCAGTGCCTCAGCCAGGTGGGTGAGCATGTGGACGAGGCCCCTGCAACAGCAGAGAGGCAGAGTCAGCAGCGCCAGCACCTCCCGGGGTCCCGACACCCACTGCCTCCAGGAGGGGTGGGCCCGTCCTCAGACGGACACCCTGCAGCAGGGCAGGGGAGTCCCTCTGTGGGAACTTCCTGCCGGTCTCTGGATGCAGCCCCAACACCACTGCTCATGCCCCACTGGGTCCACCCAGAGCACTTCCTCACACTCTGCGGTCCCCCAGAGTGGGGGCCTGTGCAGCACCCCAGGGACCCTCAGAAAGAGGGGCTCAAAAAACCAGAGACAGCCCCATGTGTCCACATCACACTTCAGACATCTAAAGACATAGCAGTTTAAAAAAAAAAAAAAAAAAAAAGGCTGCCGGGCGCAGTGGCTGAAGCCTGTAATCCCAGCACTTTGGGAGGCCGAGGCGGGTGGATCACGAGGTCAAGAGATCGAGACCACCCCGGTCAACATGGTGAAACCCCGTCTCTACTAAAAATACAAAACATTAGCTGGGCATGGTGGCGCGTGCCTGTAATCCCAGCTACTCAGGAGGCTGAGGCAGGAGAATTGCCTGAACCCAGGAGGCGGAGGTTGCGGTGAGCCGAGATCGCGCCGAGCCGAGATCGCGCCATTGCACTCCAGCCTGGGTAACAAGGGCGAAACTCTGTCTCAAAAAAAAAAAAAAAGAAAAAAAAAAAAGCCAGGCCTGATAGCTCACACCTGTAATCCCAACACTTTGGGAGGCCGCAGGTGGTTCACCTGAGGTCAGGAGTTCAACACCAGCCTGACCAATGTGGAGAAACCCCGTCTCTACTAAAAATACGAAAAGTAGCCGCGTGCCTGTAATACCAGCTACTCAGGAGGCTGAGGCAGGAGAATCGCTTGAATCCAGGAGGTGGAGGTTACAGTGAGCCAAGATCGTGCCACTGCACTCTAGCCTGGCCAACAGAGCATGACTCCATCTCAAAACAAAACAAAAAACAGCAGGTAAGGAAATGCCCCCAGCAGGCCCAGGACACTGACCCCAGGGCGGCCACAGGACACTCCAAGGGCCACGCCTACCTGGTGTGGCTCAGGGAAGGAGAGGGCAGGGCACTGGGCAGGGAGCCAGACTGAGCAGCAGGGAGACCTCCTCTGTCCCCTGGAGGTGGAGGCAGGGGCATCTCAGAGCAGGCTGGCAGTGTTCCCCAAAGGACGACACTAGCCTCCCTCCTAGCATGGCCTGGGAGCAGCCGTCAGGACCCCAAGCCTGTCGTGTGCACACGCTGGTACCCGTGAGCCTGCCCTGCAGGTGGCCTCTTTGCAGAAACTGCCCTGGAGCACACACTGCTGCAAAGTTGGGTTCAGGGTGACGTGTCCACGCTGGGGGAGACTCTCACTCCCACCGCAGGTCCCTGGGAGCAGCCCTATCTGGCGAGGAGGCAGGAGGCCCGAGGCCAGGGCAAAAGCTGGCCCCTGCTGGCTCCAGGTCCGGCCTCGCTCCAGCACAAGGCTCTGCCGGGCTCAGTGAGAACTGGGTTGGGCCATGACGGGCTGCTGCTTCCTCGGCCAGTACCCTGAGGCCCCCATGTTCCTGATGGTGCCAGGACCAGGGCCTGGCACGTGCAACTGCTGCATGGTGGCGGCTCCTGTTTCCCTGACATGGCCCAAATGGGACTGTCATTTTCCAAGCTAAGCCCCCGTCAATTCCTCGTAACTCTGGCCCAGATGATCTGGTGTTAGCTCTGCCGGCTGCAATGCTGGCACAGCCCTCAGTGGGGAGTAGTCCTGGGACACCTGGTCCTCATGCCTCTGCAGTCCCAGTGTCCACAACTCCGGGGGTGCCAGAGGCTGTCACGCACTGCACATCACTTAGAGGTGGTGGTCAAGGAGCATACTGTCCCCGCCCCTGAAACACCAGAGCCAGGTGAGCAGAGCAGGCCACGCCCAGATGCCTGGGTAAGCTGAGCCTGCCTGGGGGGACTCCGGCCTGGCTCCTGCCTCGGCGTCCATGCTATCTGCAAGTACTCACAGCGCCCCAGGACAGTGCCGGGATGGCTTTCCTCTGGGCCACACCAGATCTGAGGGCCAAAAGGTGCCCCCAGCCACTCTGTGAGGGGCCCAGGGAGCCTGAGTGTCTTCCCACAGGAGGGCTCACAGCGTGGCCCAGAGCTAGCCTTCAGGGAGGACACGTCTGAATCAGATCTACCCAGCACCCCAGGAGACAATATGGGCCCAGAAGCAGTGTGGGCCGCAGCTGCCGTGGGTGCCAGCATCACCCAGAGTGCTCCTCTCAATAGCCCCCTCATCTCACCAGCTGCTGGCACCGCACCGGTGGCTCCAAGTGTCCTTATCATAGCCCTCTGGGCATGGGGACAACCGTAAGGGGCCAACCCAGAGCTGAAGAGGGACCAGACGCAGCAACATCCCTGCTCAGGGCACTGCCTACAAACCCGCAGGAAAACCCGCCCCAAGCCCGTGTCCGGGGCCCAGCACAAGGGAACAGCCTTGGGCCCGGCACGCTGGGGGCTGAGATCCAAGTGGCGGTTGGGGTAGGACTGTGCTGAGGCAGCTCCCAGGCAGCAGAATGCCCAGAGGAATCTGCCAAGCTGCTCTGAGGACCCTGGACGCCGCCTGCCTCTGCCCCTGGCAGCTTGACACCTTCTTGCAGGAGCCTGGAGGCAAGGAGCCCCAGGCTGCTCCCACCCGACCTTCCCTGCCACAGCCTCTCCTGCTCAGCAACCCCCCCCCCCCCCCCGCCTCCTGCCCTCCCACCCTGACGTTAATGACCTGTCAGGAGCCCAGACACAACAAGGCAGTCTCACACCCCCAGCCTCCACCCCAGACACAAGGCTGCGTCTCCTGAGGAGCAGTCCTCTGGTCCCGTCTCTCAGTCTACCTAATGCTCTGAAACAAATGAGTTACAGCAAATCTCTGATTAATAGACCCATTCTCCCAGGATTACTGAAAAGGCTAGAGACTGGCAGAATCCGTCTCCGGCTCTGAGACACCCCTCCCCTCAGAAGAGTACACCCAGGCAGGGCCTGCTGCCCATGGCTCAGCATGGAACCCCTAAGGCTGGGCCTGGGATTGTTCCTCAGCCAAGAGCACAGGGAGTGTGCTCTTGTATTTTATTTTCTGATCCTCTGGCAAAGTTGGAACCCCAGGGGCTGTACAGCCTGGGGACATCCTCACCCCCACTAAAGCGCCCCTCCCAGCCGCCTTCCACATAGTTCCTGGTCCTCCTGCTGCCGCCAGGCCTCCCAGGAGGGAAACAGACAGAGCAGCCTCTCAGAAACACCCAGTGGGCAGCCTGATGAGGGGGTGCTGGCTGAGGGTGCAGGGGTCTGAGCACCAGAAAACAGGACTTCAGGGCCCTTCCAGAGCCTGGGCCTGGAGCAGCTCTGGGTGAAGCCTGCAGCCTCCCACCCTGTGAGGCCCTCAGAGCTCAGTGGGGATGCAGAGGATGGAGCCTCCCACAAGGGCAGGGCCAGCATCGGCTCCAGGCGCAGGGTCCAACGGGCCCTTGGGCAGGAATCCTGCCCCTCACAGGCTCTGCCTCAATGTCCCCGCCCTCCCTCAAGCTTCAGAGTTGTGTGGGGATGCTGCCCCAGGTGGGCAGAGCCTGGCCCTGCAGCTCCTCTGCCCAAAGCAGCGAGATGGCACTGCCATGGCCGCTGCAGGGGACACCATGGAGCCTGGCTGGGGGCTCAGGGCTGGGCCCTTAAAGTGCAGCCAGAACTACTTCCTGTGGCGGGGCGGGGAGCCAACCCCAGAGCCCGCGGCTCGCACAGAAGGCTAAAGGCCAGACGGCTGCCACAGGACTCTGCTGTGCAGGCACCTGCAGAGGGGCCACGCCAGCCTCACTCGCTGCAACCAGTAGAGTGAGAGGACACCACCTGTCCTGAGCGTGTTTGCGGATGCCCGCCCCTGACATCCTGGGCAGGACTACCGTCCCCCTGCGTCTTTTGCAGGGCAGCCACCACTTTGGCAGAACAGGGAGGGTGGCCACTTCATGTGAGCGGCTGGTTGCTTGGGCAGGACCGAGGTAGGGCCATTCCTCAGGGCTGTGGCCAGCCCAGGCGAGGAGTGGGGAGCGTGGCACTTTCCATCACTCCCTCTGTTCCTGGTCACGTGGGCCACGGGGAATGGGAACCCACGAGTGTCACGGGCGGGCCAGGCTCTAATGTGGCAAAAGGGGGCCTGGGGGAGTGCTGCGGCTGGCTCCCCACACCTCCACTGGACTGGCCGCAGCCCTGAGGAATGGCCCTACCTCAGTCCTGCTCACCTGAAGCAGCCACCCTCCCTGTTCTGCCAAAGTGGGGGGCCACCCTGCAAAGACGCCTGCGCAGGCTGCTTCCACTTTCCTGAGCAGCATCTATCTTCCGTGCAGCCCCATCGTGTCCCCAGGTTCGGGGGCTGTGGAAGGAAGGCCCTCTCTTTTCTTTTTTTTTTTTTGAGACGGAGTTTCGCTCTCGTTACCCAGGCTGGAGTGCAATGGCGCGATCTCGGCTCACCGCAACCTCCGCCTCCTGGGTTCAGGCAATTCTCCTGCCTCAGCCTCCTGAGTAGCTGGGATTACAGGCACGCGCCACCATGCCCAGCTAATTTTTTGTATTTTTAGTAGAGACGGGGTTTCACCACGTTGACAAGGATGGTCTCGATCTCTTGACCTTGTGATCCAGCCGCCTCGGCCTCCCAAAGTGCTGGGATGACAGGCTTGAGCCACCGCGCCCGGCGGAAGGCCCTCTCAAAGGGACTCATCCCTAAGCTCCTTCCTCCAGCCTCCGCCAAACACCAGGGACAGGACGAGGGCCACCCACTACCTCCTGTGCCACTCACACACGCTTCTGGCTTAGCAGCTGGTTCCAGACCTCCACCACGAAGCCGTCGAAATGCTGGTTCTGAAAGAAGCAGTCACAGGTGAGGAGGGCCTGGAGGCCCAGGAGGGAGGGGTGGAAAGACAAGAATCCCGCCCCCTCCACCTACATGGCCGGCTCACCCATGAGGCCAGACCCCAGCCTGGGCTGTATGCCCAGAAGCACTTGTCTAGAGGAGGTGTGGGGGTCCCAGAGGAACAGGAGTGGGGGGGGGCCGTGCTCTCACGCATCCTGCCCACCCATGTGTCTCCCCCAACACCCCTCAGGGGGCCTGAGGGCTTCCTGACCCTTACAGTCCAAACACACTGGCAGCCAGCAGGACTAGGTCCCCTTGCAAGAGGGCAGCGGGCAGCTGGGCTTTGCCCAAGGGAAGCACCTAGCCCAACAGACAAGCCTCCCATGCCTGGGACCATCAGAGGACCCGTAGTCAAGAAAGTGTGCAGCAGCCGCCGACACTGCCTTCCCTGGAAGATGCAGGCTGCACCAGAAGGTGCCCAGAGAAAAAGCCAGGGAAGCTGAGTGGAGGCCTCGCTGAGGCCCAGCCAGACGGTCAGGTGGGGCTGGGGGCGGGGCCAGGTGGGCTGGGGCGGGGCCAAGTGGGCAGGGCCAGGTGGCGGGGTGGGGGGGGGCCTGCTCAGAGGCTGGAGCAGCACACAGGCCTCACAGGCCTCACCTTCGCCACCTGGACCGCGGTCTTGCTCAGCTCCTCTATCTCATCCTCACTGTCTAAGACGTTCCGGAAATCATCGTAAGTCCAGTCCTCAAACAGGAGCCGAGGCACTGTGGGGGCAGCAGACACGTACAGGGGCCAGGGCTGGGAGATGCTGGAGGGCACCCACTGCTCGCTGCCCTCAAAGGCGCATCCCCTTGGCCTCCAGAGGGAAGCGAGGGCACCCAGTGAGGGGCAGGGAGGCCGCCTGGGGCAGCCTTATGTCCAGAGAGGATGTCCCAAAGCCTCAGAGGCTGGAGAGGGAGGGATGGCGGCGAAGGGGCGAGCAGACGCTGACGGTCCGGCTGCTCAGACACCAGCTCCCCGCAGGGCTCAGCATGGGAGTGGCTCCACCTCACTTACAGGGACAGACTCCGGCTGCCGCAGCTCAGCCCCGTCCCCTACTCCTAGCATCTCCCAGAGCCTCTCCCTCAGCAACCCACACTCTTAATCCACTGCCTCTGAGGCTACCACTGGATGTGGGGACGCGTGTCCCTCCCTCCCCAGCTGTGAGCTGCAGGGGCACAGGTGGGCCAGGGTCAGCATCACCCTCGGGCCAAGCCCAGAACTTGACCCCAGCTGCCCCAATAGGGCTCGTCAGGTGAAGGAAGGAAGAAATGGAGGGGAAGTGAGGGCAACGCCATCAGCCAAGGTGGCCTGGCTTTGGCGGGCTACAGCCTGTGTGGGCAGAGCCCAGGACTCCAGCCAGACCAAGGGCTGTGAATGCCAGGCCAGGGCCAGCCTCACCCTGGGCAGCCGGAATGGCCTGTGCCGGAGCAGCACAGCTGGATGGTCAGGAGCGTGGGGAGACCGCAGAACCTGCCCGTCCACCCTCAGAGGTCGTGCCGTCACAGCCACCACCGCCGGCCTGCCGGACTCACCGATGTGCAGGCCCTTAGCATTCTTCCTGATGGCTCGCATCCACCCTGTGGGACGTGGAGGGGACAGTCAGCAAAGGGACACGCGCCCAGCCAAAGACCCAGCCCACCTGAGGAGGAAAACGTGGCAGCCGTACAATGTGCAGCGGAAACGGCAGGGGAGCGGAGGCGGGTGTGAGAACCCACCCCTCCCCGGCCCAGGGCAGCCCTACGCACCCCCTTCCTCACCCAACCGCCTCCTGGCCCAGGCCCCCTCCTGAACCTGCAGAGCAGCTCTGAGCTTGCCCTCCCTGAGCTGGAACAGCTCAGGGCCTGTGGCTGGCCAAGGGCACAGGGAAGGTCAGGGTTTCTCTGAGCTGAGGGGTGGCCAGACCCGCTGGGCCTGTCACTGGCTGACACTCCATCATCTCCCCACAGTTCTCTCAGTGTCAGGGAAAACCACTCCTGCTCTTGAGCTCCAAAACCGGCTGACACTTTCCCGGCCACATCTCTCTGTCCGAGCCTGAACACAAGGCATGGTCATGTGACCTTGGGCAGATGTCATCAGGTTATGCCATCGGGAGACAGCCTCTGCCTGAACCCCACCACCCTCCCTGGCAGAGTGAAAATCGCTAAAGGAGGGACAGAGGAGGAGAAGCCAACAGCCTGTGCCCTTCACTGCCCAGAGGCTGCCTGAGTCATTGCAGAGCGTGTCCTGCACATGCGGGGTGCTGCCCGGAGGCGTGGGGAAGACCCACCTCACAGCCACCTGCACCATGGACAGAGCCGGGCGGACCACTCCGAGGCACCAAGCTGGCCTTGTAGAGGGTCGCACAGTGGCGACCACCTCAGGCCCTCTACCAGCCCTGCCCTGCCCCACTCACCTTCCTACCCAGCCCCAGCCCACACCATGGGCCTGCCCTCCAGGCTCAGCCACAAGGGTGAGGGCATGGGCCTCATGGTCAACACACACACAAACATGTCCACACCCACAGTCACATTTGACACACTCTCTCCTCTCCCACATCATCAGTCTCATACTTACACACTCACATTCACACTACACACACACACACACACCTGCTCTCGCACTCACACTCTTTTCAGCCTGTGGGGCAAGCACAGTCAAGCAGGAAGGGTGAGAACCTTGGTCCACGTCATGGAGGCCCGTGACCTCAAACATCTCACGGCCACGTCTCTTCAGCTGCAGCCAGACGGGCGAGATCTGTGTGAACTTGCTCGCGAAGACCTTGGTGACATCATAGCCATGGCTGTTCCACTGACAAAGGGCAGAGACATCAAACGGAGGACAGCTGAGCGAGCCCCTGCCTCACCATGGTGCTGTCATTCTGGGGGCTCTGCACGTGCCCAGGGCCGGCCAGTGTAGACAGCTCTCAGTGCTGACTAACGTCAGCTCCTGGTCTGGGGTATCCTTCCCCAACTCTGGACTGCCACTCACAGCCTGGGGCCCAGGCCACAACATCCGTTTCACCAAAAGTGACTGGTGCTCATCTCAAGCCTTGCCCTGAGCTAGTGCACACCACGGCTGCAAGCTGGCAGCTAGGCACAGCAAGAGGAGAGGAAGCTGGGTGTGAAAACCTCCCCGTCCCTGGCCGAGGAAGCACACCCGCTTCCCGACCACAGACAACCTGAGAGCCCACCTCTGGAGTCGGGGGAACCCACAGAGGTCCCTGCAGCAGGCCCTGGAGAGAAGCCCAATGCCTCACACTGCGACATCTCCAGGAAGCCGGCTCTCCCTGTAGCCTCACAGCAGCAGCAGCAGCCCGGGGAGAGCAGAAGACAGACCCCCATCACTGACTGGCCAGAGGAGGCCATCTTGGGACCAGGGCAGCCCGTCTGAGCCTCAGGACCCCGCTCTGCACTGTGAGGACCCCGACTTACTGGGGTGACATAGCCCAGCACATCTCCAGCAAAGTGTCTGTCCCGGGCCTTGGCTGAGCAGTAGCTGCGATGCTCAAGAACCACGTCCTCAGCTTTGAGGTCTGTCACCACCAAACCCCGGTCCTGGACTGGCTTATCTGAAAACTGACTCTGAAATAAAAGGAACGAGAGAAAGCCGTCAGTCCTCTGTCCTCAGTGTAGACACGGAACTGCACCCACCAAGTCCTTCCCATTCAGCCAGCAACCGAGTGTCCGGATCAACACGGTGCTGCTGATCCTCTCCTTGCATGGAGAGGATGGAGGCCACAGTGGGCGTCACTTCAGAAGGGCCCTGGCTGTCAGCAGACACTGGCTGACTGTACAGGCCTTTCCCACCCTTGCTCTGGCCTGGAGGCAGGCAGGCAGGCAGATGGCTACAGTGGCTCCCTCCTTGCATGTGAGGGTGGACAGTCAGGACCAGCTCTGGCCACCTTACATCCATCCAGGGCCACACCTGTTGCTGGACAAGAACGTGCCAGGTGGGCCAGGTGCAGTGGCTCACATCAGTTATCCCAGCACTTTGGGAGGCAAAGGGGGGTGGATCACCCGAGGTCAAGAGTTGAAGAGCAGCCTGGTGAACATGGTGAAACCCCTTGTTTACTAAATATACAAAAATTAGCCAGGCGTGGTGGTGGATGCCTGTAGTCCCAGCTACTTGGGAGGCTGAGGCAGGAGAATTGCTTGAACCTGAGAGGCAGAGGTTGCAGTGAGCTGAGATCATGCCATTGCGCTCTAGCCTAAGCAACAGAGCGAGACTCTGTCTCAACCAAAAAAAAAGAGAACATGACATGCCAGGCACATGCCACCCTGCTGGCCAACCACTGCCTGGCACTGCCCCCACCAATGTGACCTCTTCCTGCCATGTCACACTGCCCCCGACCCCACCTCTGCTCCTGGAAACCCTCCCTGCAGCTACTGACCTGTCTCTTCCATCCACACTCCGTGGCCTGGCTCAACCTCCCCTTGACCTCGCCTCAAGGGCCCCCGTGAGAGAGAGATGCCCGTTACGTGGTGTATTTGCTCCCAGACAGCACAGAGAGAGCATCTGCCAGTCCAGAACTAAGTCACAGGAACAGTCCTGTGGCAGGGTCCAGCCAGCGGCATGGGGACTGCTGGGGCTGAGGGCTGGTTCTATGAGTTTACACCCCTGCAGGTGCAAGCTCCAGGGCCATCCCAGGGGAACAGCCCAAAGAGCATGAGGCAAACGAAGCTCAAGGCCACCTCGGAGACAGCAACATGAAGATGCAGGTGCTTTAAGCAAGAGCGAGGACGGAAACTGAACAGAAAACAAGCCCCAGCTGGGCGTGTGGCTCAGGTCTGTACTCCCGGCGCTTTGGGAGGCCGAGGCGGGTGGATCATGAGGTCAGGGTTTTGGAACCAGCCTGGCCAACATGGCGAAAACCCGTCTCTACCAAAAATACAAAAATTAGCCAGTGTGGTGGTGGATGCTGTAATCCCAGCTACTTGGGAGGCTGAGGCAGGATAGTTGCTTGGACCTGGGAGGTGGAGGTTGCAGTGAGCCAAGATTGCACCACTGCACTCCTGCCCGGGCAACAGAGCAATATTCCGTCTCAATAGCAACAAAAAAGGGCCAGGTACTGTGACTCATGCCTGTAATCCCAGTACTTTGGGAGGCCAAGGTGGGCGCATCACGAGGTCAAGAGATTGAGACCATCCTGGCCAACATAGTGAAACCGCATCTATACTAAAAAATACCAAAATTAGCTGGGTGTGATGGCGTCCACCTGTAGTCCCAGCTACTTGGGAGACTGAGGGAGAAGACTGAACCTGGGAGGTGGAGGTTGCAGTGAGCCGAGATCACGCCAGCCTGGTGACAGAGTAAGACTCCGTCTCAAAAAAACAAAAAACAACAAAATAAGCCCCAAGTGGGGTAAGTGGGGATGTACCCCACTTACCCTCAAAACCTGGCTCCAGAGGCTACTCACTCAGAGGCGCTGACTGGCCAGAGCCCCAGAATCACACAGGCCACCCAACAGCTGCAAACTCATCAGGTGCCTCTGTGAGGAGCTAAGCCCCTTGAGCCTCCTGGCTCCAGGCCCCAGTGGACAGAAAGGAGAAGATGATGGATCAGCCCTCAGCCAGCACAGTCACCTCAACTCCCCAGGCCACCCCTACCTTCTCCAGCAGCGTCTTCGAGGCAGCTTTTTTGGCATCTGACTTTGACAGAGTAGTGTGAACAGGGCCGCAGGCCAGAGCAAGCCAGAGGAGTTTGAAGAGTGTCCGCATGGTAGGTGTGTCACAGCAGGGTCCAGCCTCGCGGTCCAGAGGGCTGCAGGGAGAGCAGAGCACATTCAAACCACCAGCAGACAAATGCTGCACGGGCAACCCCTCTGCGGATGAGGCCACCTTCTCCTAACAGGGCCTGGGTCCTCATGGCACCGGGTGAGGCCTTGGCCACTGGGACAGAACCCTGCCCTGGACCAGCCCTGGCTGTCAGAGTCCATTCTTCAGTACTCCTGGGCCTCCTGACTGGGCCGCCAATTCCTTCCAGACACTCAGAAAGGAGCTTCCTCACCACCAGCCATAGAGCCCTCCCCTCGTAGCCCAAGGCCGCCCTGACCACCACTGGCCATCCAGGAAAACACTGGTTCCCACCTCCTCCTTCAAATCCAAAGAAAGCCCAACCATGGCAAGGCTTATGTGGAAAATAACGAAGCCACAGGCCCGGCGTGGCAGCTCGCGCCTATAATCCCAGCACTTTGAGAGATTGAGGTGGGAAGATTACTTGAGCCCAGGAGTTCAAGATCAGCCTGGAAAACAGTGAGATCCTACAAAAAAATAAAAATTGGCCAGGCGTGGTGGCTCATGCCTGTAATCCCAGCACTTTGGGAGGCCGAGGCAGGTGGATCATGAGGTGAGGAGTTCGAGACCAGCCTGGACAAGATGGTGAAACTCCATCTCTGCTAAAAATACAAAAATTGGGCCGGGTGCGGTGGCTCAAGCCTGTAATCCCAGCACTTTGGGAGGCCGAGGCAGGTGGATCACGAGGTCGAGAGATCGAGACCATCCTGGTCAACATGGTGAAACCCCGTCTCTACTAAAAATACAAAAAATTAGCTGGGCATGGTGGCGCGTGCCTGTAATGCCAGCTACTCAGGAGGCTGAGGCAGGAGAATTGCCTGAACCCAGGAGGCGGAGGTTGCGGTGAGCCGAGATCACGCCATTGCACTCCAGCCTGGGTAACAAGAGCAAAACTCCGTCTCAAAAAAAAAAAAAAAAAAAAAATACAAAAATTGGCCGGGCACAGTGGCTCGTGCCTGTAATCTCAGCACTTTGGGAGGCTGAGGCGGGCAGATCACCAGATCAGGAGATCGAGACTATCCTGGCCAACAGGGTGAAACCCCGGCTCTACTAAAAATACAAAAATTAGCTGTGTGTGGTGGCACACGCCTGTAGTCCCAGCTACTCGGGAGGCCGAGGCAGGAGAACTGCTTGAACCCAGGAGTCGGAGACTGCAATAAGCAGAGATCGTATCACTGCACTACAGCCTGGGCAACAGTGTGAGACTCCATCACACACACACGCAAAATCTGCTGGGTGTGGTGGTGGGAGCCTGTAATCCCAGCTACTCGGGAGACTGAGGCAGCAGAATCACTTGAACCCAGGAGCAGAGGTTGCAGTGAGCCGAGATTGCTCCATTGCACTCCAGCCTGGGCGACAGAGCAAGACTGTCTCCTAAAAAATAAAAAATAAAAATTTGGGCCAGGGGCAGTGGTTCACGCCTGTAATCCAAGAACTTTGGGAGGCTGAGGTAGGCAGCTCATCTGAGGTCAGGAGTTTGAGATCAGCCTGACCAAGATAGTGAAATTCCGTTTCTACTAAAAACATAAAAATTAGCCAGGCATGATGGCTAATGCCTGTAATTCCAGCTACTTGGGAGGCTGAGGCAGGAGAATTGCTTGAACCTGGGAGGTGGAGGTTGCAGTGAGCTGAGATCTCACTATCACACTCCAGCGTGGGCAACAAGAGCAAAACTATTTAAAAAAAAAAAAAAAAAAAAAAAAAAGGCCAGGCATGGTGGTTCACACCTGTAATCCCAGCACTTTGGGAGGCCGAGGTGGGCAGATCATGAAGTCAAGAGATTGAGACCATCCTGCCAACACAGTGAAACCCCGGCTCTACTGAAAATACAAAAATTAGGCCGGGCGCGGTGGCTCAAGCCTGTAATCCCAGCACTTTGGGAGGCTGAGGTGGGTGGATCACGAGGTCGAGAGATCGAGACCATCCTGGTCAACATGGTGAAACCCCGTCTCTACTAAAAATACAAAAAACTAGCTGGGCATGGTGGCGCGTGCCTGTAATCCCAGCTACTCAGGAGGCTGAGGCAGGAGAATTGCCTGAACCCAGGAGGCGGAGGTTGCGGTGAGCCGAGATCGCGCCATTGCACTCCAGCCTGGGTAACAAGAGCGAAACTCCGTCTCAAAAAAAGAAAAAGAAAATACAAAAATTAGCTGGGCGTGGTGGTACACGCCTGTAGTCCCAGCTACTCAGGAGGCTGAGGCAGGAGAATTGTTTGAATGGGGGTGGGGGGAGGGGTGTGAGATCATGCCACTGCACTCCAGCCTGGTGACACAGCAAGACTATCTCTCAAAACAACAACAAAAAAAAATTGTAGGCTCTGAGAAGCCTACAGTAATACTAACGACGAAGATGACGATGCCACAGAAAGCACTAAGAGAACATATGGATGCTTATTTACACAATCTCAGGTTGGAGGAGGCTTTTCCAGGTATATGAGCAACGGGAGAGATCATGAAAGAAAATACAACTAGAGTAGACCTACATAAAAATGTAAAAATTTCATTCAGAAAATAAAAAAGTAATTATGAGGGCAAATAATAAATAAGAAAACGTATTTGGAAAATACCTGACAACAGACTTCTAACCATAATCTATTCATAATATGCAAATCAATCTTACAAATCAAGAAAAGGCACTTTGATTAAAAAAAAAAGTCCCATTGGCTCTCGCCCATAATCCCAGGACTTTGGGAGGCTGAGGCAGGCAGATCACCTGAGGTCAGGCAGTCAAGACCAGCCTGGTCAATATGGTGCAACCTCATCTTTATTAAAAATACAAAAAAAAATTAGCCGGGCGCTGTGGCTCAAGCCTGTAATCCCAGCACTTTGGGAGGCTGAGACGGGTGGATCACAAGGTCAAGAGATCGAGACCATCCTGGTCAACACGGTGAAACCCCGTCTCTACTGAAAACACAAAAAATTAGCTGGGCGTGGTGGCGCGTGCCTGTAATCCCAGCTACTCAGGAGGTTGAGGCAGGAGAATTGCCTGAACCCAGGAGGCGGAGGCTGAGGTGAGCCGAGATCGCGCCATTGCACTCCAGCCTGGGTAACAAGAGCGAAACTCCGTCTCAAAAAAAACAAAACAAAACAAAACAAAAATTAGCCGGGCGTGGTGGTAGGCACCTGTAATCCCAGCTACTCGGGAGGCTGAGGCAGGAGAATCAGTTGAACTTGGAAGGCAGAGATTGCAGTGAGCTGAGATCAAGTCATTGCACTCCAGCCTGGGCAACAAGAGTGAAACTTCATTCCCCCCCCCCCAAAAAAAAAGTCCTATTACAAAAATAACAAATGAGAAGAATACAAAAGAGACATTTAGAGCCCCAGAAATGAGCAGCTTAGCTTGATTAGCGATCGAAGAGCCAAACACTGAAATAAGACGGCATCGCCACCCGTGTACGAAGGAGTGAAGACAGCGATGGTATCACAGAACCTGGACCCCAGTGACTCTACTGAGCTGTCAGTGGAAACTAAAGTTGAGAAAGCCATTTCTGAAGACAATCTGCTCATGAATATAGTTTGCAACATGCATTTTCTTTTTCACTTATTTTTGTTATTTTGTTTTGCTTTTTTCTTTTTCCAATATGCATTTCTTTTCTTTCACAAATTCCACTCTGGGGGACTTGTTTTTGTTTTTTTTTGTTTTTTGTTTTTGTGATAGAGTCTCGCCCTGTCTCCCAGGCTGGAGTGCACTGGTGCCATTTCGGCTCACTGCAACCTCCACCCCCAGGGTTCAAGCAATTCTCCTACCTCAGCCTCCCAAGTAGCTGGGATTACAGGCACAAGCTGCCAAGCCCAGCTAGTTTTTCTATTTTTAGTAGAGGTGGAGTTCTGCCATGCTGGGCAGGCCGATCTCAAGCTCCTGGACTCTAGTGATCCACCGGCCTTCCAAAATATTGTGATTACGAGCATGAGCCACCGCGCCCAGCCACGGGGATTTTCCACATACACAGAAAACCTGAGGATGTTCATGGACCTGGTACATCCAGATGCTGGAACACGGACAGACACTGCCATGTTCTCAATGTGCCAGTCAACACAAAGACACTACAAAGCATCACTTACACAGCCAGTCCCACAGAAAAAGCATGATGGGAGGTACACTAAAAAGCAGATGAAGCCAGGTGTAGTGGCTCACACCTGTAATCCCAGCATTTTGGGAGGCTGAGGCGAGAGGATCACCTGAGGTCAGGAGTTCAAGACCGGCCTGTCCAACATGGTGAAACCCCATCTCTACTAAAAATACAAAAATTAGCTGGGCATGGTGGTGCACACCTGTAATCCCAGCTACTTAGAAGGCTGGGGCAGGAAAGTCGCTTGAACCCGTGAGGCAGAGGTTGTGATAAGCCGAGATTGTGCCACTACACTCCAGCCTGGGCAACAGAGCAAGACTCCATCTCAAAAAAAAAAAAAAAAAAAAAAAAAGGGCCGGGCACGGTGGTTCACACCTGTAATCCCAGCACTTTCGGAGGCCGAGGTGGGTGGATCATAAGGTCAGGAGTTCAAGACCAGGCTAGCCAAGATGGTGAGACCCCTGTCTCTACTAAAAATACAAAAATTAGCCGGGCATGGTGGCACCCGCCTGTAATCCCAGCTACTTCAGGAGGCCGAGGCAGGAGAATCGCTTGAACCCAGGAGATGGAGGATTGTGTCACTGCACTCCAGCCTGGGTGACAGAGCAAGACTCCATCTCAAAAAAAAAAAAAAAAAAAAAAAAAAAGCAAATCACGTACCCTTAATGTGGAAGATTTAGAAACAAAACAAAAAAGTCAATGAGTAGGCTGTCCAGAATTACTACTCAGTGTTTCTTCTCTTCTGCTTTATCTGTATCTTCTGGTCTTCCCGCACTAAACTTTTATTATACTGTTCATTTTTAGGTTCTAGGGACCACCCACAAAAGTGATTCTGCTTTCTTTCACTGGGGTTTGGGGGCATCGGAGGGAGTTGAACAACCACCATAGTCCAGCCGGGCTGTTAGTCCTTCATGAAGCTTCAGGACACTGCTGGGAAGAAGCTCTTGGCTAGTTTCACAGTTCTGGCACCAAGCACCCCTCTAAATCAGCTGAGGGGGCCACATAGCCTGGGCAGAGGTAGAGACCTGGCAGGTGGGCAGCTGGAGGCCATCCTAGCCCACTACCCAGCAGGTAGGCACATGGCCTTCCCCCGGGTCACAGGCTCCTGATACAGGAACTCTGAACCAAGAGGCTCCGGGAACCCCAGCCAGGCAGGTGCTCCTGTCAGAAGGTGCTGCCTGAGCCAGGCCCACCACAGAGCCTACCCTCCTACCCAAAGGCCAGGAACCTGATTCACTTCCTCTGAAACCGTCCCTTGACCTGCTTCCTTCTGCAGAGGCGCATGCTGCCCCACGTTGCCCTGTCTCTTCCCTGGGTGAGATTGGGGCTCCTGGTGCAGACTGAGGGGAGTGTGGCTGTCCCCTGGCAGAGGGCTTCCGTGCTTTGGTACCCAATACACCCACCTGCGTGGAGAGAACATTGTCCTAGAGCAAGGTCAACCAGTGAAGCTCCCCCACCTAGGAGGCAGGGAGCCACAAGACCACCTAGGCTGCAGGCTGATGAAGAGTTAGCAAAGGAACTCACAGGGCGAGCACAGCAGCACCCAGTATGTGGAGCGACAGGCAAAGGCAGTCAGTGTCTGAACAGCCAGCCACAGCAGTTCTGAGAGAGTGTGGGGCGGGGGGCGTGATAAGAAGACCCAGGAACAGGTCAGCACCCTGTGCCCCCGGCCCCCAACCTCTCCAGCCCCTCTCCTCAGTGACACATTCCAGAATCAGAACCAAGGGCAGCATCCTGCTGCCACCTCCTCCTAGTCCCACTACCTTCCTGCTGCAGCTGAGAGGCTTGGTCTGAGTGAGCAACAGCCCCAGGGAAGGTGGGGAGAGTTCTGGCCATGGCACAGGGAAGACGACCCAGAATCACTTGCCTGGCCAGGCTGAAACAGCAGCTGCCTCAGCTGCAGGCACCCTGTCTCTGACCCCAGCCCATTCCATGACCACTGGCTCCTTCTCTCTCTTCTGAGTAGATATCTGAGTCAGGGAGGAAGGAAAGGAATAAAAACCAAAGAGAAGGTGGTTCTCCAGGGGAGTGGTCCAGGAGTAACTTGAGGGCACACCTAGGTGTCCAATGACCAACCACTATGGGGTTGGGTCTCTGCCCCTACCTGTGGTCCTGCAGCTTGGAAACAGGGCACTGTCCACCCACCTAGAGGCCCTTCTGCCTATGACCACCCTGCCCCCAGACCTGTGATTTCACACTTCAGGGAAGGAAGAGGAAAGGGTGGGAGGATGGAGTTGATCTAGCCACGAGGAAGAGGAAGACAGTCCTGCCAGCTTGTGTCCAGCAGAGGGGGCACTAGAGGGAGAAGCTGACAGCACAAGAGCAGGACCGGTCCTGCCTCTGTCCCCCATGCCCAGTACGCCAGCGCGGGTCCTGCCTCTGTCCCCGGCGCCCAGCTCACCCGGGCCGGTCCTGCCTCTGTCCCCTGCGCCCAGCTCGCCCGGGACGGCCCTGCCTCTGTCCCCCATGCCCAGTACGCCAGCACGGGTTCTGCCTCTGTCCCCGGCGCCCAGCTCACCAGCGCGAGTCCTGCTTCTGTCCCCCGCACCCAGCTCACCAGCGCGAGTCCTGCTTCTGTCCCCCGCACCCAGCTCACCAGCGCGGGTCCTGCCTCTGTCCCCGGCGCCCAGCTCACCAGCGCGAGTCCTGCTTCTGTCCCCCGCACCCAGCTCACCAGCGCGAGTCCTGCTTCTGTCCCCCGCACCCAGCTCACCAGCGCGGGTCCTGCCTCTGTCCCCGGCGCCCAGCTCACCAGTGCGGGTCCTGCTTCTGTCCCCCGCACCCAGCTCACCAGCGCGGGTCCTGCTTCTGTCCCCCGCACCCAGCTCACCAGCGCGGGTCCTGCTTCTGTCCCCCGCACCCAGCTCACCAGCGCGGGTCCTGCTTCTGTCCCCCGCACCCAGCTCACCAGCGCGGGTCCTGCTTCTGTCCCCCGCACCCAGCTCGCCAGCGCCGGTCCTGCCTCAGTTCCCCGCGCCCAGCTCGCCCGGGCCGGTCCTGCCTCTGTCCCCCGCGCCCAGCTCGCCAGCGCCGGTCCTGCCTCCGTTCCCGCGCCCAGCTCATCGGCTCTGTCGTGAAGTGCTTGGATACAGCATGCCTACAAGTGCTGGGCTGCTTCTCTGACTTGCCATGGAACTTTACAGACAACTGCCCCAGGCCACGGTGTGTGTGATGCGTGAGGGGTGCTCACGGCAACCAGGCCCTTGTCTGGGCTTTGGCGCCTCCCCGGGTCCCCAGTGCCCACTGGCCGCTCTGCTCTGAGGCCCGTGAGGACACTGTCATGCTCCTCGTGTGACACAGACTCCCAGACTCACAGACTGTGTTTCTGCATCAAAATGTGTTTCTTCCCCAAACGCCAAAGACCTTCCCTTGGACGGCACGGCCCCGCGCACAGGAGGAACGTGGTGTGCGATGAAGAGGCACAGGCCCCGACCCGGCCACCCAAAGGCGTCTTGGAAGGCACCCTCTAACGAGCTAAGGCGGAGCGGCTACTGCTGCCGCCACTCTTCCTGGGGCCCCAGGCTGTAGCTCCGGGCCTGCCTCGGGGGTGGCGGAAAGGATGGAGTCACAGCAGGGGCTTTGCACGTGTTTCGTGGAGACCAGCAGTAAGAAATGCGCGCTACGTGACGGCCCGGCACGCGTGGCTGTCGTGCGTGCACACGGGCCGTGCGTGTGCCCGCGTGCGGAGCTAACCCTGGAAGACCCGCCGCACATGGCTCTGGCCTGGAACCCCAGCGCTTCGGGGGGCCCGGAGTTCCCGGCCGCTTTCGGCGACACAGAGCTGGTCTCTACAGAAACCGTTTTTCTCAGGCGGGTGTCCCGGCGCACACCTGTCGTCCCGCGTGGCTGGGAGGCTGGGGGACGACCCGAGCCCGGGAGGCCGAGGCCGGCGGGTCACCCTCCAGTCTGGACGGTCGACAGCCCCGGAACCTTCAAGGGCTGGGGCCGAGCCCAGGGTGCGAGCCGACGCGTCCGCCCCTCACGCCCCTCGCCGGGAGGGCAGCTCGCCGGGAGCCTCCGCTCCCCTGGGCGTCCTGGGGGCCCGACGGCCACCACGGAGCCCACGAGCCACGCGCTCACACCCCCACCGGCCACGTCCCCGGCCCGCACACGCCGGCCCTTCCACCCGGCGCGCCCCGCTCTCAGGCCCGCCCGCCCCCGCTCACACCCGCACGCACGCCCCTCACACACTCGCTCCCGCTCGCGCGCCCGCCCGGCGCCGCCCGCGACCCACGCCCGTCCCGTCCGGGGCGGAGCCTCGCTGCCCGGCGCGCCCACTTCGCGGAAGGGACACTGAGGCCGTGCGAGGAGGAGCAGGGGCGGCCGCCGCGGGACTCACCTGCATGTCAGGGAGGCCGGGCGGCCACACACGCTCGGCCGGAGGATGCTCCGGCGCGCCGGAAGTCCCGCCCCAGCGGCCCGCGCGCTATCGCCGCGCACGGCACGCTGGGATGCGGTGGGGCGGGGCCGGCACAGGGGCGGGGCGGGGCCTGACGGCCGGAGAGCCGGGAAAGGGGCGGGACCTGACGGCCGGAGAGGCGGGGGAAAGGGGCGGGGCCTGACGGCCGGAGAGGCGGGAAAGGGGCGGGGCCTGACGGCCGGAGAGGCGGGGAAAGGGGCGGGGCCTGACGGCCGGAGAGGCGGGGGAAAGGGGCGGGGCCTGACGGCCGGAGAGGCGGGAAAGGGGCGGGGCCTTGCCCTTGGCGACCCCGGGGCTGGAGCGTTCAGCTTGCGCGCCCCTGGTGCTCGCGCTGGAGCCGCCTCCCAGGCTCCCGCCCCCGGGGGCGCCGGGTCCCCAGGGCCACGGCTCTTACGCAGGCCTGGCGCCCTTGGCGTGGGGTCGTCCGGGGCCTCTGCCGGGCTGGGCGGGCCGGGGGTACCGCGCGGTGGGCTGCGCCCGGCACACTCCTCCCGAGACCCGCAGTCGCCGCTCCCGGCGCCCCCCACGGTCCCCCGGCACAGCCGCCTGGGCGGGCCGTCTCCATCCCCGGGCCGAGGGCGCCCACGACGCCGTCTCCGCGGTGCGGCCCGAAACCCACGCTGCCTGGGTCGGCACCCGCGCCTTGCACAGCTCGGCGGCCGGAGCCCGCGGGGGCAGACGGAGTTCCCGCCGCAGCCCCTCGCGCTGGCGTGGACGCGCGCGTGGCCAGCACTGTCCCGCCCAGCGCGTGGTACCCCGCGCAGGCTGCCCGACCCCCGCCCCCAGCCCAGCCGTTCCCGGCGCAGTTTCCTGCAGAAAACCGCACATCGGGCCCCGCCCTGCCCCGCTCGGCGGGTCCCGGGGCGCGCGTGGGCTCCGCGACACCCTGCACAGCTTCTTCCCCATTTCTGCTGCTCGGGAGGTTTCTTCTTAAACGAAGCTTTGTTCTTTCTTTCTAGTCACGTTTCCTTCTTTCCCTTCCCGGTATTTCCTGCCAGCTGACGCCCACGCCTTTCCAGAAGGGGTTGGGGGCTGGACGCGGTGCCCAGGCACGTCCCCCACCAGCTGCTGGCTTTCACCCAGCTCAGCACTCGCACTCAGCAAATGGCCTGGTTGGTGGCCTGAAGCCTGGCCTTTGTGGGTGAACACAGCAAGCCCGCGGAGCTCGGGAGAGGGTCCCGGGAAGCCGCGCCAGGTATCCTCAGGGATACGCAGTCCTGGCAATGCTAAAAAAGGCCATGGCAGCAGCCAACTTCTCTTAGGAAAGGCACTTAGCCATTTTAGGATCTCATTGAGGTCAGAGGTCTTTGGCACTAAAGAATTGCAGAATCAGCCGGGGCGGTGGCTCCTGCTTGTAATCCCAGCACTTTGGGAGGCCGAGGCCGACGGATCACTTGAGGTCAGGAGTTCAAGACCAGCCTGGCCAACATGGTGAAACCCTGTCTCTACTACAAGTACAAAAAAATTAGCTGGATGTGGTGGCAGGCGCCTGTAATCCCAGCTACTCTGGAGGCCGAGACACCAGAATTGCTTGAACCTGGGAGGCAGAGGTTACTCTGTACTCCAGCCTGGGCAACAGAGCAAGACTCAGTCTCAAAAAAAATTTTTTTTAATGAATTGCAGAATCTACTCAGGGTACACTCTGGGCCAGAACTACAGACCCCAAGACCAGATGGTCCGCGCAGATGGGAGGATGGGAAGCCCAGGACCCGGGCTACCACTGGGCAGGGTCCTGGGGGAGTCTTGCCAGTCGCCAGCACAAAGCCATCAGCATGTTTTTGGAACATCTAAGGTAACTGTGCTTCACCACATTTAACATCTGAATCCGTTAAGTTGTACGAGTTCTTAGCCAGGTTCAGTGGCTCTCGCCTGGAATCTCAACTCTTTGGGAGGCCCAGGCAGGAGAATCGCCACCCCAGCCCACCAAAAAAAAAGCATTACAATGAAACGGGGTTTCACTCTGTCACCCAGGCTGGCGTGCAGTGGATCATGGTTCACTGCAGCCTCGACCTCCTGGGCTTAAGCAGTCCTCTTGCCTCGGCCTCCGCAAATGCTGGATTCTAGACATGAGCCACCTGACCAGGCCCATGCATTTCCTGAGTTACTGAAGCAACCGAGATTCTGTCGTCAATTCAGACAACCTAAAGTATGCAAAAAGGAGTGAAAAGAGACTTAATTTATAAATTGTAATGTTGAAAATTGCTTAATCGGCCAGGTGCAGTGGCTCATGCCTGTAATCCCAACACTTTGGGAGGCCGAGGTGGGTGGATCAAAAGGTTGGCAGTTCAAAACCTGCCTGGCCAAGATGGTGAGACTAAAAATACAAAAATTAGCCAGGCATGGTGGCAGGTGCCTGTAATCCCAGCTACTTGGGAGGCTGAGGCAGGAGAATTGCTTGAACATGGGAAATGGAGGTTGCAGTGAGCTGAGATTGTGCCACTGCACTCCAGCCTGGACAACAAGAGCAAGACTGCATTTCAGAAAAAAAAAAAAGAAAGAAAATTGCTTAATTGAGTTTGCAGATGGGACCAAATATTATGCAGAGGCCTCTTTAAAGTGATTCTAGGCAGGCGCCGTGGCTCACGCCTGCCATCCCAGCGCTTTGGAAGGCCAAGGCAGGTGGATCACTTGAGCTCAGGTGTTTGAGACCAGTCTGGGCAACATGATAAAATCCCATGTCTACTAAAAATATAAAACATTAAGTCGGGCGTGGTGGCGTGTGCTTGTGATCCCAGCTACTCTGGAGGCTGAGGTAGGAGAATTGCTTGAACCTGGGAGGTGGAGGTTGCGGTGAGCCGAGATCATACTACTGCACTCCAGCCGGGCGATGGAATGAGACTCCATCTCAAAAAAAAAAAAAAAAAAAAAAGACTGTAAAATCTTCTAGGTTTACAAAGGGAATAATAGATGTTTGTAAAATTGAACTTAATGGTTAATAAATTGGGTTTTGAATTTATAACTTCAGTTTATTGAAATTAAATTTCAATCAATCAAATCCTAATTGTTGAAATTTAATGTAAATCCAAGCATAGCCACCTTGCCCAGGCACTAAGCCAGTCCTCAGCTCCCGTTCCCAGCCTTCCCTTCGAGGCGTGGGTGTGGGGGTGCCCTGGTGAAGGTCCAGGCTCTGCCCTGCAGGCCCAGGTCTGACCTGCCCTGAGGCCGTCCTGCTTGCCCCCGGCCTGTCTGCAGGGGATGAGGGGACAGGAGGGCAGAGGCCACCCTGTGGGGTGAGGGGGCTTGTGGAGATGAGCCTTTCTGCTGCTGAGTGGATTCCTGGCTCCTGCTCCTTCTCCAGTCCCTTACCTGGGATGTTCCTGAGTCCCCAGCCTGAGGATGCCTCTCAGAGACATCCTCGGAAGCACTCGCAGGCTGGGCACGGTGGCTCACACCTGTAATCCCAGCATTTTGGGAGGCTGAGGTGGGAGGATCACTTGAGCCCAAGAGGTCAAGGTGGCAGTGAACCGTGATTGCACCGCCACACTCCAGCCTGGGTGACAGATCGGACCCTGCCTCAGAAAAAAAAAAAAAAAAAATCACTCCCACCCGGTTGTTGGAGGTACCTGGTGGCTGTGGGGTCTTTGGGGCTGGGCTGTGTCTTCCCCAGGCTGGCTAGTGCTCCCGGGTGGGGTGCAGGCGGCTCCGGGACGCTCCTCATGTGCAGAGTCAGCATGGGCAGGGCCTTTCCCGACAGTGGCAGCCCCGTGACTGTGTCCTGTTCTGACTAGGAGACCTTGGCCTGGGTCACCCAGAGGGGCGGACCGGGGCCGCTGTTGCTAACCGTGTCCTGTCACTCCTAGGCCTTGAAACATTCCAATGTAGAGGCCGGAAGCCCAGGAAGAGAGGGACAGAGCGACGCACACCAGCAGTCCCTGCTGCCGAGCCCTCCCCACCTGTGGACGGAGACATCCTCTCTGGGTGCTGTCATAAGCAAGTCCAGGGTGAGCGGGAAGGGAAGTAGCACACTCACGCCCGGCGGAAGCTTCCGGAGCCGTGCCAGAGCCAGCACAGCAGATATCTGTGTGTCCCATGTGTGGGCCCCCATGGCCCAGCTGGCCCTGGCCAGTGACAGTTGCGTTTAGGTGTCTGGTTGGCTGCCGGGCTGGTGTGGAGCCCCAAGGCTGGCATCTGTGGTGGCACGTGGCCCTAGCTTTGTGGATCTGCCCTTTGCAAAGGGCTGTGTGCGTCACGGCATCATCGTGGGTTTCACGCTTCTCACCATCCCACAGCCAACTGAAAGTACCGAAAGCTGGCCCGATGTGGCGGCTCACATTTTGGGAGGCTGAGATGGGCAGGTTCTTTGAGCCTCAGGAGTTTGAGACCAGCCTGGACAACATGGTGAAAGCTCATCTCTGCAGAACATTTTAAAATTAGCTGGTCATGGTGGCGTGCATCTACAGTCCCAGCTACTCGAAGGCTGTGTGGGAGGGTCATCTGAGTGCAGGGAGGTCAAGGTTGCAGAGAACTGTGATTACCCCACTGCACTCCTGCATGGGTGACAGAGACAGACCCTGTCTCAAAAGAAAAAAAAATCCAGAAGCAAAGAAGAGGGGCCGGCTGCCTGGCCTTGATGAGATCAAGAGGCAGTATTTCTTCATGGTGGTGGTGGCCTGTAATCCCAGCTACTCAAAGCCTGAGGCAGAGAATAGCCTGAGCCCAGGAGGTGGAGGTTGCAGTGAGTCAAGATTGCACCGCTGCACTCCAGCCTGGGCGACAGAGCGAGACCCTCTCTCTCTCAAAAAAAAAAAGTAATAGTGGGCTCTCCGCAGAGGCATCCAGGGTGAGGGTCTTGGAATGAATCATTCTGGGTAATAGGGTGGACCCTAAATCCAATCACAGGGGTCCTTGTGAGAAGAGAAGGGAGGGGCACAGCGGCTCACGCCTGTAATCCCAGCCCTTTTGCAGGCCGAGGCGGGTGGATCACCTGACGTCAGGAGTCCAGACCAGCCTGGCCAACACGCTGAAGACCCTACTAAACATACAAACACTAGCCGGCAGGATGGCATGCACCTGTAATCCCAGCTACTCGGGAGGCTGCGGCAGGAGAACCGTTTGAGCCAGGGA